TTACTAGCTATAATTATAGATCTAATAATTTCCTACTATATAATAATATAATTAAGATCTATTATAATTATATAATAAAGATTTAGATTACTTATTAATATTTAATATTTATAGCTTATCCTCTCTTTTATAGTTTAATATTATTAAATATATACTCTATCCTATTAAAGTTAATAAATAAATAGTAGAAATAGCCTTTAATCTGAGGTAGATAATACCTAATCTCTATAGTATAATTATATAGATATTCTATAAAATCCTAAGTATTATTCTTATTATTATTCTATTTTAAATATATCTTCCTAATATATTACTTTAGATTATTAAAGTACTTTTTAATAAGGTTAAAGTTTAGTAAATATAGAGGTAGAAACTTAAGATTAATACTTAATATTTAATATAAATCTTTAATTTTATATATATAATAATAAGAGAGGTTATCTATAATAATAATAAAGTTTAGTTTTAGAAAACGCTTATACTTTAGGATAAAGTACTCCTATAACTAATAAAAAAACCTATTACTATTAGTTATACTATAATATATAGTTAAGTATAAGATACTATTTATTATTAAAGTTAATAAGATTTATATATAAAAGTTTTAAAACTAATTAATCTTTATAGTTTAAAATATAGTAAGCTCTTTTAGTACTTATTTAATCCTCTATATCTTAATATCCTTATTAATATTAGATTTATTAATAAATACTAACTAANACTAACTAATTAAAGTAATATTATTATATATAATATAAGTATTTATATTATAATTTATCACTTTATTAAGTAGTAATAATCTTAGACTTCTTATTTATTTAGCTAGCTAAGTATAACTATTAATTAATTATAGAATAACTAATTTAGATCTTAAAGGTTTTAAATAGGAAATCTTATATCTCTTTAAGAGATAGATTACTATAATACTATAGTAGTTTAAGAAGCTCTATATAATACTATATTTCTATTTTTTATTAACTTTAGTAGTACCTCTTATATCTCTATACCTCACTAGTAATATTACGTTATAATCTATATTATTAAATTATTTATTTAGTATAGTTAATAATATTTATTAGTTTATAGGTCTTTTAATCTTTAAATAGTAATATTATTATAATTACTAATAGCTATAGATTTAAAATTTTAAGTACTATTATATTATTATTATTACCTAATATCTTTCTTAATATATCTAATATAANAAACTATAAATATATACTAATTAGTAGTAAATTATAAATAACTAGGTATAATCTATATAGTAGTAGACTTTTTCTTAATATTATAAATAAATTAAGCTATTAAGAGACTTATTACTCCTATTAACTACTAGAACTATTTATTTTAAAGAACTATATTAAACCTCTTAGTATACTTTTATATTACTTAGAGCTATATAAACTATATATTAAATAGATATATAAAGCTATACTATAGGTCTTATTTTCTATTCTTTAATAAATATTACTATAAACTCTAATAATAATAAATATACTTTTTACTAGTTAATTAGTATAAAGATAAGGTAACTAGCTAAATTAGTAATACCTCTATAAATAAATTAATTACTATAGAGGTATTAGATATATACCTTATATCTCTATTATATAGTAATACGTTTAAATATTACTATAACTATAATAATTAATACTAATTAAGGTATTAGTAATAGATTTAGCGCGTTTTATATATAATATAGATAAATACATGTTATAGTATAAAATTAGCTTTTTTTTATGTTTTTACATAAGCGGGGAAAAAAAGGGGGGGTGGACGCTGTTAACGCAACGGAGTGTAACGTACGCGGCTGGTTGGATGTTCTTATGATCACGACATGCCGACATGCAATAGCGAAGCTCCGTGAATGTTTTTTTCCGCTTCCTATATGCGTGAATGATGCTAATGAAAGTTGCCGAGCGGCCCTTGAGAAATGCTTATGAAATTTATCCGTAGATTAGGTCCCTGGCAGATTATTAATTTTATTCGAATGATATTCGTGAAATAAATATTATGACAAGAATATAAAAGATGAGCTGCACTATGTTTTTCGGCGAAGCCGCAGAAACGCATTTAAGAACCTTCATCCATCGCAACATCATATTCTGCCTTAGATATCGATGCTTCTTGTGCTGCATTTACGTCGGGCTTTCCCCGACAATGCGTCTACCTGGCGCGTAGCATGCACCATCAAGATGGGCGATCACGCAATTCACACAAGCGAGGCCAAGGCGCCCCGAGACCTACAGGATTCAGAGCCTAGCAGGATCTTATCACTGACTTTAGTCATCGGTAATCGCGAATGTCTTGAAAGAATAAGAGCAACAAGAGCGCGTGTAATGCCTCAAGCAACATCAAACATCATTTCAAGTACAAAGCAGCCTTCACAACTTCCACCACAAACTTTCCAGAACAATCGAAACAAAGATGGCAGTTGTTCAATCCGCAGTAGCGCCCCGGAGCGGTTTACCATCATCGGCACTGGAAAATTGGGGGGACATTGACGAAGGTCTGCCCCTCTTTGAAGCATTTAAAGTGCCTGGCCAGCAAGACACCGTCAAGTTCGGCCTTCCCTGGTCTTCGTCTTTCCCTCTGGGTCTCAGACCAAGCAAAAAATTGACTTTGACCGAGAGCATCGAAGCCGTTCATAGATTCACCCGGTCAGGTGACTTGGTTAAGCTGATCAGGCAGCATGGCGGTGCAGTGTTGATCCGCGGATTGCCCATCAAAACACCGGACGACTACAGCAAAGTGGCTCACGCATTTGGATTCCGCCCTCATTTTGAGGTTGGGAGACCTCCTTTGAGAACTGTTTTGGCACCAAATGTGAAAACGGCAAACGAGGGGTAGGCTCCGCGATGCTCACCAGTCCGACCACATAGCACGAGCTGATAGTCCGTAGGCCACCCGAGCTCCCGATTTGGCCACATAGCGAGTAAGCATATTGGAACTCTTGTCATCATAGTGTGCTGATCAGGGCAGATACGGTTGGTCGACGATCAACCCAGCTTGGCTTACGTTTAGTGCCCTTCAGATCCCTGAGTCTGGTAGGTGATCACTTTTTGACTTTGTGATGTCGCCATGGATGGCTTGATTGTTGAAACAAGTCTACAATGCGCCTGCTAAGTAGAACCAGGTGGCGCAACTCCCATCACATCAGCAATCTACATTGCCCATGAACTCCAACGTCAATCACCAAAGTTTCTCTCAGATCTTCTCAACAAGGGCGTCAAGTATGTGTACCGCTACACGGTGAAAGCCCTTGTTTCCAACACGGGAACGAGCGTTCGGGGCGCATACGGACAAGAGGTCGCCGACGGAGACGACGAAGAAACGGCCCGAAGAAAGATCGAGGCCGAGGTTCGCCGTCACAGTGACCGCTTTGAGTGGCATGATGATGGGAGCCTGAGCGTGACACATATCGTCCCTGGTTGGTGTTCATCCCCATCATTCGCCATGGAATTTGGCCAGAGCTGACACCACAACGAAGCCATTCGGATCCATAACCCAACCGAGTCTACGGTGTTCTTCGGGAATGTCACTTCCGCCTGGGGGCGGAGTAGACATCATGGTGCGACGAGACCACCGTTCCGCGGCGATGACGGGTCCTATCATCCGCCGCCGACATTCGGTGACGGCACGCCGATTGACGTCGAGGACTTGGACTTGCTGCTGAAACTCGCGGAAGAGGGTGCCGTAGATGTTGAGTGGGAGCAAGGAGACTTGGTTTTGCTGGACGTGAGTACTTTACCTTCGGGAAATCCCCGTGCGAGTGACATCGTGTGTGGTGGCTGACACGAAAGGCGTCCCCAGAATTACGCGGTCATGCATTCGAGGAAGCCTTGGAAGGGGGAGCGCCAAGTCCTGGCTGCACTCTGGGACGATGACGGGAGGATCAGAGATTTTCCAGAAGGCTTAGAGTTGCTGAAGGGAAGTCCGAGAGTCCCCAGGACGGATTCGGGCGGGACTGTCGGATAGGGATCCACGGTCAGCCCTTATCGTCATTGGCCAGGAATCATTCCCGACCGGATATCTCAATGAATATCATCCCTCAGGCTTGAAGATCTTTGACTCGATCTACCTACGCCTGTGCTCCGGTGAGCATACAGTCTTGTTGGCTTCAGTGATGAGCCCTAAGCTTGCCTATCTTGTCATTCATCATCCTTGCCATCTACGTTTCTCGGTTATCGGAGCCCGAGACGATCAAGCCGCAAAAAAAGACGAAGGCAATACGCGCATCACGAGGCGATAATCCGCCATGGAGAACCCTCATCAAGTTCTAGGGGCAGAGTACGATCCTAGCCCCATAGCCACCGCGCGCCACGCCTACCGCCCATGACAGTTTGTCAGGACGCTGTCAGGTCGTAGTTGAAATTGTGTCACCGCGACAAGTACGCGAAGTCTTACTCGGACAGTGGAAACAGGCCAAGGCCCAAGTGGATCATTCCGGGGGTGAAAGGAGAGGATGTTCAAGCGCGGGTCAGATGAAGCTGGCGATGCATCCGTGCGCCAGGGGCCTCCAAGTGGTGCGTGGTGCGGGATGAATTGCAGATAACCTCGCATGCATGTTCCGTCAAATGCAGTCTATCGTCTTATGCATAAGGCTTAGTTGTTGACAAAAGGGGAAGATCATTGCCAGATCGGATCCATCGCGACTTCTTCAACGGCGCATGGCACTGCCATCTTCGATCAAACCGTTTCTTTTCCTATTGTCGAGTTCAAGACACAATTTCCCCCTTTCGACTCTTTCGACTGAGGCAGTGGATAACCAAGAGTCCTTTTCAAATTGGAGACCTTTTGTCGAATCCATGGTGGTTAGGCACCACAGTCGCTTTGACGATGGCGTCGCTTAGCGGCCCTCTCCTAGGCCAACAACAAACGCCACGCTTCCGATGTAACCGCTAATTGTATCATTAGGGGCGCCATGTCTCGTAGCAGATGGCACTAATAGAGCCCGTCTATCCGCCAGCCGCGGCGAAGAAAACCTGCGATACTCCATTGAGTTCCTGGATGACGGGCTAGGAGCCCGCAGCTATGACAGTGGACCGCACGATTCGAGTCTAGAGGAGGCAACTGAACGACAAGGCTCGGACCTCTTCATCACAGCTAGTGCATCCCAATATCCGCATTGACCTCGGAATCACTCCATTGGATGAAGGGGGTGGCTCTCTCTAATACCCTCTCTCTCGCATTCAATGCCGCGGGTTTGGGAGAGGGAACCTTGACCTTTGATTGTTTGTGTCTTCTCAACTCCAGTCATTCGTTCGCACGGTCGGGATTACTTCGCTCGCAATTGACAGTCTTTTCGGTTTGCACTTGTTTTGTTACATGACGGTGTTCCAAGCGGGCGTTCCATCGAAACGTTTTGGAACAAAATACAACAGCAACAACAATCTCGATAAACAAACGACACTCACACGGCAGCGCCAGGATATAATGAACAATGGTCGGTGAGGGTATCCACGGGAGATGGCATGAGGTCTCGCACAAACTCTATCGTCGAGGCCTCATCGGGGATCTTCTCAACGCTCCCGGTAACATAATCAGTCAGGTGTTGTCACCGCCGGCGGCGACAACACAGGAAAGTGTGAAGGCAGAGGGGACACCAGCACCAGCAGCAACATCACAAGCTGCAGCCGCCCAGCCAACAACGCAAGCAGCAGTAGCAGCACCTGCGACGACACAGCAGCCTGCGGCGGCGGCTCCTGCAACATCAACAAAGCAAGAACAACAACAGCAGCAGCCTGTGACAACACCAGCTGCCCAAGCTCCGGCGACAACAAAAGCAGCAGCAGCAGCTCAACCTCAACAATCATCTCCAGCAGCTGCTGCACCCAGTCCTCCAGCAAGTAGTAGTGCTGCAGCTGCAGCGGCTGGTGGTGGAACAACATCCGTTGCCAACGCAGCGGCAGCGGCAGCAGCTCCCACAACCCCCGGTGTTGCTGCGTCTTCCCAAGTCGCAGCATCCTCTTCGATATCACCAACTACAAGAGTTTCTGGTCTCAGCGGCGCAGATGCAACGAGCTCTGGAGGACCGGCTTCGAGTCAGACACCAATCTCACCAAATCTTGATACCCAATCCAGTGGAGGAACTCCCAGTCAGACCCCTTTGGTAGCGACTGGTGTCGTATGTAAGTGATAAAGTCACCTGCCATTTTCTCTATATGCTAATGTCATTCGCAGTGGGTATTGTTGTCTTGATGGGAATTTCCCTGCTGCTTTATTGGTGCTACCGTCGAAGAAGAAGGGCAAACGAACACCACCACGCCGCTCTGCCTCCCGAAAGCCCTGCCAACGAATACGGGCCCGAACCTCGATATCGTGATACCATCGATACAAGCGTCGTCCCGATGACCGAAGTTATGACCGATAGTCGCGCAGTCAGTGGCATTGACCAACTGACAGTCGAGCATCCCAAACCTGAAAGATCATCCGCAGCTCCACCTCAACTTACACTGCAAGGCCTATCCTCAGCGTCCGAACGAACCAACCCCTACTCGGGAACGCCATTCACTTACGCTCAAGCTCAACAATATGCACAATCTCATGGGTTCTCCTTCCCAGCCCCACCACCAATTCCAGAACCTTCCCCTATTCGTATATTCAGATGGCCAACCCGGTCGTCTCGCTCCGGCTCTTCCGCCCCAAGTGTCTGGTCTGCTTGGCGAACATCGAAAACTACTTCACGTGCACAATCTCGTGCGCAGTCTAGAGCATCTCGCAGCACCATGTCTTCTATGCTCTGGCACGGAAGGAGGGACGTCATTGCTAGGAGGACAATGAACCAAACTCCGGTATCAACAAAGAACGGCTTCCTCGCCACTAGTACCCCAGACAGCCCGATGCCCGAGGGTCTTCACACCCCGATCCTGGACTGGCTACACTGGATACGTGGAAACCAATCAGAAAATGGCGACCCGGAGTTCAACCACAGAAAAAGTATCGCCAGTTCCGAGAGCTCTCTCTCAGAAGTAGGAAGCATTGCCAGCAGCGGTGTCTTCTCTCCCACACTCCTTTCTTGGCCTCCGCCGGCCGAGGGCGCACCACCCATGATCGACCCAGATGCCTTGGAGGCTCTACGATACCTACCTATGCCTCTTCAGTTGAAGAGAGAGAGCAGTAACGGCGAAACCTATGTAGAGCCGTCTGGCAGCCGTGTACAAAGCTTCCAATAACTGCAAATTCATGTAATTAATGATGTCTGCTCGGAGACGGCTTCGAGGTACAAGTTGTCCGTCGTTGCATTGCTCAGGTGTCATGGCATATTCAGTATTTATAGCTTAGCAAATACCAAATTTGATCATTAGATGAGATAATCCGTTGACTTGAACTCCTCACCAACATGAATTGTAATGTATACTGTTTTGGCGTGCTACTGCGACTTTTCAACGGCGTCAACCTGCATGATGTTCATGAATCAGGAGACCTTCCTTCAATGACCACTTCTTGTCCAGACGTTGTTTTGTTCCTCCCAGGATAGAAACAAGCATAGAATGCACAGCCAGCTACAAATCCCACAATGCCCAGGGAAGCGTACATCCAAACCAAGTAAGGGTCCTGCGAGACAGGAGCGAGAGCAATGCAAATAGCCGCAGCGACACCAATTGTCAGCCAAAAAAGGGCGGATACAACCGATCGAAGATTAAGGAATTTTGAGCGTTAGATTTTATCTTGGCGTCATCGAACCACTGAGCCGACTCAGGGGCACTCACTTTTTCGGTGCGTGGGTGAATGCTAGCTCAAGCCCAGTAACGATGATGAACGCCTCTGAAAACGCCACCAAGATGTACGCCGGCGCTTGAATCCAGACGTGAATGCTTTTAGGGGGCGAATTGTATATGTAGTGCTGCAGAACACTGGCATAAACCATTGAGATGGATGCGAAAAGGAATCCGACGAAAATTCGGGTAACCGGATCGAAGTTGATGCGATGCTTTCGGAAGAGAGGGTACACAACGACTACGGAGTTCTCGGATTAGATAGTTCTCTAGGGAGCCTAGCTCAGATGGCTGCTTACTGTCAAGAAAAGGAATGAAGATGCACAGGGCGATGGGGTCCAGATTCTGCAGCAAATCGTTCGGCGTGCCATGTAGAGCCATCTCGCCTGCCTGGGAAATCAGGTTGTTCCAAATCTGGATCCAACAAATGAAATAAAGGGGGAAGAACAAGAACATCTAAACATGGAAACGTCAGCTTCACAACCCTGTAAACAACCGATGTCTTCCTACCTTGCAGCTATTCAATCCCCTCATAACGTCCATGACATATTCGTCAGTGTACTTGGCTTCTCTTGCGATAGCATACTTGCTTTCGTGACCAGATTCTCTGAGCGCCGAAGGGGTGGCGTTCTCGAAGCCCTTCTCTTTGATAGCAATGCTGGCTACTCGGAAAGCATCCACAATCGCGGATCCTTCAGGTGGAACCTTCACATATTTCTTCTGACCGGAGATGAAGACGGCTGCGGATATAAGAATTGCACTGGGAAGGTTAAAGTCCAAGCCAAGTCAACGGAGTTGGGCAACTCACATGAGTGGAATCAGGTATGCCAACCAGAAAGAGTGATGGGCCTCAACGTTGACAGTAATCAGAGGTGACAGAGCGCCAATGTTGACAACCCAGTAGAACCTAGAATAGTCGTCAGCTGGTGCCCGCGATATTTCCTCAATATGCGTTATCTTACCACATGAACAAGCGTTGTACAGTGAGCTCAGGATCCACAAGAACCTCTTCGCCGGACTTCAGAGTTCTGACGATGGGATGAGAGTTCTGGTACTGTTCGGCACACATGGGCGTGACGTTAGCTTTGATGCCACCTGTCCCAAGACCGATGGTGATCATTGCGGCAATGAGGCCACCAAAGCCAGCCCCGCTGGTGATCGCTTGCGGTGTTGAAGTTGCAACAAGAATGATGAGACCGATGGTGTAGACAGAGCAAGCAGTAAGGATTGCCTTGAACTTTCCAAGATACTGGTCTGATAATGGTCTTTCAGCAAGGCACTGTATGGAAGGTTTCCAACCAACTTACCTGCTATAACGGCGCCGATGACTGTCGATGCATATGCCCAGAATTTGAAAAAGTTGCCCAACGCAGTTGCCAAAGCTTGGCCTTTCCCGAGAGCTCCCGGAAGATCAGAACTTGGATCATAGGGGTTGCTACGATGGAACTAGTTAGCAATGTGAAGTTACTCTAATCGGAGTTACATAGCATCAGAATAGAGATCGCTCAATCTTCCTGCGTACTTGGCAACTTCAATAACGATGACAGTAGTAGGGATAGGAGTAGAAACGACAATAGCAATAACAACGACGACGACGACAACAACGGTACCTCAATATGGAGTACATGTGAACCCAAAGGAAAACTAGTCGCCCTAGCATATGGAACAGAGGTAGTCTCTTAGAACTTACTTGATGTAATTCTGAATCGGCCCGCTCAGTCCAAAGTAAGTGAATCGCTCTCCCAGCTTTGTTTTTGAATGTTAAACTCGAGCTCCAACTGAATCGAACAAGTCTGATGATCGACATACCTCAACAACCAAGATCAGAAGTGCGACAGTTGGGAGTTTGTCTGGAACTCTCCTAAGACCCACCCATTGCTCCGTAGCCAACTTGACCGGGGCATCAGTATGTACCTGGGCCTCTTCTGCGCCGGCGATGTTGTCTTTGGTGTCGCTCATCGTCACTCTAGCACGACAAGGAAGTATTCATGTGCCGATAATCGAACGATGCCCTTCGGAAGCCGAATGCTGGAACATCTCATAGTCATATAGATGACGAACAAAATGCTTGACTACGGCATTTGTTCAATTCACTGATCCTCTGACTCGACCCGGCGCAGCGGGTAAAGCGGGGTCCCCCGGACTGGCGCTTGAACGCCTGATACGGGAGATAACGCTGGGGATTTTGCGTAGCTCTCATAGGCGGCGTCCATTGGCCTATCACTAAGATAGCGATTGAGAACGCCACCAATCAGATCTCACACCGTCATCTTTTGGTGGTTCATCCGCACTTGGCCCACCAAGATCGGCCATTTGAACGCCGCCAATCAGACACAATGCCGGCCGCCGAGTTCGATGTGTTGGTCATGGAAACGTCCGGCCCGGCGATTGCGGCTTGGATGATGAGACGAACTGCGGAATGAAATGAGACCCGTGGCTCGACATCGCAGTTCAATCGAGCTCAACCACATGCGCATGCATCGAAAATGACGGTTTCACAAACAGTCTGCGAACAGCCGGAAGCTGAGGCATACCCCGGACGACTTGCTATTTCGGCGCAAGACTACCCAGGTATAGATGCAGAGTGGGTTCGGCTTTGGAATGATCATGGCGGCTCCATGGTGAGAGCCGACGAAGTCAGTATTGAAGAGTATCGGAAAAGCCCGGGGAAGTACAGCTTCACTTATCCGACATGTGCTGGTCAGCCAAACTTATAACCAAGTTTTGTCTCAGAATGCGTATTAACAACAGTGTAGGACCTGAAGTATTTCATGTTGAAGACCGCAAGATCCCCGTAACCAGGCCCTTTGGCAAGATCACCGTTCGTGTCTACTCGCCTGAAGGCCCTGGTCCTTTCCCCGTACATCTCAACTTTCACGGAGGTAAGCAAACACCTCATTTGAAAACCCAATTAAATATGAGAACTAGTATTTAACGTTACAGGCGGTTGGGTTCTTGGTGGGCTTCAGAGCGAGGCTGCATGGTGCCGACACATGTGTAACAAAGCAAACATAAAAGTCATTGATGTCGACTACCGTATGGGACCTGAGCACAAATTTCCCACTGCGATTTACGATTGCTGGGATGCTGTTAAATGGGTAACACTGTGCCAATCGATCAGAAATTCCCACCCTCTTAGCTAACATTTGCATCCTCCAGGCTATCGGCAACTCTCAAGCTCTGAACATCGACTCCACCAGCATCTCGTTTGGCGGGCTGTCGGCCGGTGGTCAAATGTCTGCTGTTCTTGCTCATTTTGCAAGAGACGAGAACATTCCGATAAAGTTGCATCTCATGATTGTTCCAGCGACCGACATGCGATATTGCAGCCGGAAGATCAAACAGCTCAATGAAGCCAACTGTCCGTATGAAAGTGCTCGACAATTTCACAGTCTCCCTTGGGGGCCACTGGGGAGAGAACAATGGTTCTTGAAATATTGGCTTGGAGACGATGATGGTAGGATGAAAGCAAACCCTGAAAAAAGACCATTTATTGACACAATGAACTAGATGAACAAGAAACATGTTTGAATGAGTGGATCTTGACGCCCGTCTTGGCGCCAAACTTCAGCGATCTACCACCAGCTCACATCGTAACAGCAGAGTTCGACCTTGAGCGGGACGAGGGGGAGTATTACGGGAGACTGCTCAAAGAAGGTGGTAATCAAGTCACCCAGAAGCGATATGCAGGTGTACCTCACGCGTTTGCACACTATAACCACCCAGAAAGAGGCCTGACCAAGAGCTTCGAGTTTATCGCTGACACGGCTCTTTTGCTCAGAAAAGCGCACTGCTGTAACTAAGCGTTGGGAAATTTTCTAATTTAGAGGAGGTACCATTGAGCCAAAGGTAATCTCAGTCAAGACCTCTAAACATCAAGAAGAATTGATCCTGTTCTTCCCCACTATCGTTCCTGTTGTTGCTGCTTCTATCGTCGTCCTCTATTGTCATCTCTGTCCATACCCGCTAGGTTAGCTGGAGGTATCCTCTCCGATCGCGAACCTTCGTAAAGAAGGTCACCTCTTGCTGGAAATACAATTAACGCCGTGATATCTGGCAAGAGATTATGAGTGTTTTTCTCACTATATTATTGGCGAAGTCGGACTTGATGACAGCTGCCTCATCATATGCCGATGAGACCTTAATAACGCCCACTCAGGTGGGCTACAAGGATAGTCCGAATCAACCTATGACCGAATGTGTACGGAAGTGTCGCCAAAGCTTGTTCGGACTTATCCGCAGATACCCCTGCTTCAATTCAACATCACGCGGAAATCATCCACCACCGCAAGAGATCGTCACTGCGAGCTCACGCAGACCCTGGTAGATATGTATCCACAGCGGACCCTCGATGATATCTAACCCGATATCGTAACTTTCCTCAAAGGAGTGTTGTCCCAAACACGATCAATCGCAATTTCGAACGGTAATTAATTTCAAGGCCAAAGAACAAAAATGCATTTTGAAGAATAAGACTCAATAGATGTTATCAGCTATTGGCTTTCGGTCTTGACGCCGATCTACATCACATGGTTTCTTGTTGACCAGACGCCTTTGATATGGTTCTCATCATCAAACACCACTAAATCCCCACCGGTAAGCTCAAGGTCGTATTGAAGCGGCAATGAAGCTGATCACGAGGGGCTGGTGCTACAAGACCCCACAAATGCTTATAGGGTGCATGATAGAAAATCGAAAAGTTACCTCAAATCGCAACTGCGGCATCATGGATCTTACTGAAGATTGTGATGAGTGGGTCAATGCGAGCGTAGATAAAGCCCTCGACCACACATTCATCCAAGCGGTGACCATCCCACGGATAAACTCATTTGATTGATTCTCGTCATATCTACCACGGCTATCTTTGCCACCTATACAGGCTTCACAATGTCCAAGAATTCCAGGAACGTTCAGACTCACTGGGTCCGTCCACATCAGCCTGAGGGCTCCTCCCGAGATCAAATATGGGCCCTCTCAGACTACGATCACACCATGCCGGCGTTCAACATTCCGATCGTCGCAGTGTACTCCTGTTCTCTCCGCGGAGCAGAAAAAGACTCTCTTATTGAGACCCTGAAAGGTAGCCTTGAACAAACACTCGGTCAATACATACAATTTGGTGGTAAGCTCCAGATACACGATGAGACGGGCCAGTATACTATCAAAACATCCGACAATGACGCCGTGGAACTCAGTGTCAAACACCACGATGATCCCGATGATGATTATGTACCATCCTACGCCAGCCTTGAGAGGCAAGCATTCCCGCCCATGTTGCTGGACGGAAAGAAGCTTTTGCCAAGGATCATGACCGAGAAACAGACGCTCACCCAACATGGATACTTTGTTGAGGATGATGCACCTGTGGCAATGTTCATGGTTACATTCATCCGCGGCGGCTTAGTCTTTGGCATCGGCCTGCATCACCTGGCTACCGATGTGTCAGGACTCGATGGCTTCCTCCAGTCCTGGGCTGCGAACAACAGGAATTTGATGAATGGGCTGGCCCTCGCGCCATTTGACGACTCCATTCTGGATCGCGCACTCCTCACTCACGCTGGCTCTCCACCGGATGAGAATCAGTGGACGGAACTGGACCAAAAGGTGAAATTTGTCAAACTTCTGGATGAGATTCCTCAGCCCCCGCCGCCAGACTTCAAGATGCCCGACACCTCAGAAGTTCTCTTTCACTTCCCAAAGTCCAAGATAGTTAAACTCAAAACAGCTGCATCTCCGGCAGATGCAGACGCTTGGGTGTCCTCCTACGACTCTATCATGGCACTGTGCTGGCGCTGCCTCACACGCGCCCGACAGTCTTCATTCTCCGGAAACACAACCACTGCGTTGATGCACGCTGTCAATGGGCGCAATCGCCTCAAGCCTCAGCTTGCGAAGTACTACATCGGCAATGTGGCTATGCACGGCCGGCCAGAGCTGACCTTTGACGAAGTCGTTGCCCCGGATGCCTTTCCCCGCCTTGCTGCGATGGTACGCACAACAAACGTCGAGGTTGACGACGACCTTTACAAGTCCGCCGTGGAGTGGGTTGCCGGTGTCACCGACAAGCGACGCATCGCGCTCAACATGAACGCGTTCCTCGGCCCGGACGTGGCGAGCACTAGTTGGCAAGGCTTGTCGGCGCATCAGACATGGGACTTTGGTTTCGGGACACCAAAAGCCATCCGTTGGCCGAAGCCAGATATTGATGGATTCGTATTCTACTTCCCTGCTAGAAATACAGGCGACCCTGACGAGGGCGTTGAGCTGGTTGTGTGCTTAGAAGACAGCGCAATGCAGAAGTTGCTCGAGGACCAAGAGTGGCTGAACTACGCGGTAGTCAAAGGACCAAGGAGTTGTTTTGATCTAGATGTGGCCAGAGCTTGAGCGTGTCTTTTCTGGCAGATTCGAAAACTTTATCGGACTAAGCGATAAATGTCATTCGTAAACTCTGATCAAACAATTTGACACCAAATTCTCATCCATCAGTTGCCATAGGGGTAGGAACCAATCTGCTTCACGACTTTTTTTAGCATCATCAGCCAATAAAGACATCATTCAATCGCGTAACACGACACTGTCAGGTCACGTCCGTCTAATTTGACCAAGCCCTCCGCTATGTCAATCTAGCTTAGTGATATCGGGGCGGCATTCAGGGGTAGCGCCGGCCTTGAAAGCGGGGCGTCACATGAACGCCGCCAATGATCGCAAACGCCGGTATCGGTCTCCGGACCCGGATGGCGTGTAGCAGCAGGCTATCAGCCGGGTAAGTTGACATATTTCGCGCGCACATGGCGAGCATGGAGTCGGGTTTGAAATCCGCGATTAATGGTGACCATCGATATAAGGAAGAAGGTGTAGATATCCCATCATCTGCTCAAAATTAGCGATTTTTCATCAAACCTGCCTGCCGCTTAGGTAACTTTGCTCCTCGAAAGAAACAGTCATGATTTCTAGAAATGATGACGATCCGATCGTAATTATTGGGTAAGTTTCCAACTGTAAGCCATGTAGTATAACATCGATCTCACCACAGAATAGAGCGGGTGTGATTGGTTTAGATACCGCCCTTGTCCTCGCGCGGAGAGGACTTGGACGCCAGACAACAGTGATTGCAGAGCATTTCCCGGGTGACACCTCGGTGAACTACACATCTCCATGGTAAGTAATCCTTGGTCTCGCTTATTAGAACCTTCTGACGCACATCAAGGGCTGGAGCCAACTTTTCCGCCATCTCAGGCAGTGACACGAACGCTCTAAGATGGGATCGCCTGGGTTACAGTCATCTGACTCAATTGGCAACTAGCGCTGGTCGAGACTCTTTCGTTCACCGGACACCGTCAATTGAGTACTGGGATGAGGCAGTCTCGGACGACAAAATCAAGTCAATGTCTGAATACTTGGAAGATGTCAGTCACCATTCCTAGTTTTATTCAAGTCCACTAGTTTACTTACTCACGGTTCATTAGTTCAAAGTCATACTTGCAAATGACCTTCCTGATGGGGTGCTATTTGGCGTTTCCTTCACAACAGTCACTATTAACGCACCAAAGCACATAGAGTATCTGTTTGGCTTGCTGAAAAAAGAGTATGGTGTGCAGTTTATCCTGAAAAAGCTGCCCAGCATTCAGTCCGCATTCAGTAGCAAGACCAAGGTTGCCTTTAATTGCACCGGAAACGCTGCGAGGTTTCTGCCCGGAGTTGAAGACACCAAGTGCTACCCAACAAGAGGCCAGATTGTTCTCGCAAGAGCACCGCAAGTCACGACCAACGTCATGAGACATGGTCATGGCTATGAAACCTACATCATTCCGAGACCATGGTCTAACGGTAACGTGATACTTGGCGGATACATGCAAAAGGGCGTCAGGTAAGTCCTCTCACGAACTCGAAAATAGTTGTCTCGCAGCTAAGAGTCTTGAAGTACAAGCGATACCTTCGCTCACGAGACGGACTCGATCTTGAGTAGAACCTCCGCTCTTAGCTCGGAGTTGAAGGAGTCTAAGCCAGATGTACTGGCGAGCTTCTCGGGCCTGAGACCATCCCGAGAGGGAGGTGCCCGTGTTGAACGAACGCAGATTGACGTTGACGGCAGGAAGCACGTGCTTGTTCACAACTATGGGGCAGGCGGAACGGGCTTTCAAGCAGGATATGGGATGGCGTTAGATGCCGTCGAGGCAGTCGATGATATTCTTGAGCAAGTAATGCATAGTAGCACTGCGGCTAGGCTATGAGAAGATAAACAAAACAGGACTCAGTCTAGAGTCGTTCTGACTCCGCAGCTTTAAATGCATCCGCAACATGAGGTCTCAGTTGAAGAACATTTTCAATACTCCGCCAGAAAAGTGCATCTATCCTCAGAAGTCCGAGTCGTAGAAATGGGAATGAGACGACTTTGATTCTTAGCAGCTTTCGGGTAGACTGCAAATCAGCAATCCAGCGTGATGCTTCTTCAAAGTCAGTGGACGTAACAGCCATCGTCATCAACGTGAAGCAAACTGATGAGAACATGAATTGAGTCCAAGGAGGCCAGAAGCCGCCGTCCGTATCGGGGCTTAGACTCCGGATGATTGCAGACATTCCGATAGTACATGTTCTCATCTCTTCTCTTACCACTCGCAAAGATCGCGACGGATCATGCGAGTGGTACTCCGTGATCGTGGTCTCTCCCAGCCACGGCCTCAGCTTAGCTCGGCCGATGATCAGTTGCACATAAAGCTGGCCAAGGCAATTCTCAGTAGAAGAGGTTGAGGCATCATCATTGGTGATGTTGCGCAACTCTTTTAGCAGTGGCTGTGCTATGTCGAAGGTTCTCTCGTGATCCCCAGATAAGATCCCGACACTTCCTGTGGAGCTTGGGCATGTCAGCTGTGAGACCGATTGCCAAATGTTTGACACTTACTAAAGCTTCGATAACGTTAATGCAAGCGTGCTTGTGATAGCTGAGAAGTGTATGAGATTATTTTGTGCAGGAGCGTCGAGGCTCGAATCAGAAAAGTCGTCGTAACCCACGGTTGTGACAAGCCAATTGTCCTCGTGAATCAACGGTGGCCGACCAAGGCCGCAAGCTAACCACTTATCAGTCACATAGACGATGAAAGACAGCCTACGACGATGTGATATTTGCCATGATGCCATGGACCATCTTGAAGGGTCAAGATGGAGACCCAAAGTAGTAGCACAAGATGCAAGCCTCCCCATTAGGTCCCATCTGGAACCTGCATCCGCGACCATTGGGTCAGAAGAAGGCCGGAGGATGAGCAGCAATAGTGCTTGTACGATGGCGAGCGTTGGTGAATGCATTTCGTACGCGAGGCTCTTCTCAATAATCCGAGAGAGTTCGGCATATGGAGGCCTGTCGTAAGCTACATCGACACTGAGCTTGTCGTCGTGGACAGCGAAAGGTAGTGAGATGGCATATGTCGCAGCGACGAGACATGAGGGCGCTGATTCCGGGTCTAAGGGATGCGACTCTGAGAAGATCGGCCATTTCGGATAGATGAACTGATGGAATAGCCGAACTAGGCGTCGTCCAACATCCAAAGGGATGACCTTGTGTAACTCCTCTCTTAGAGATTCTTCCTGGCCTTTCCCGAGGCCAGCCTCCTCTCGCCTTCTAGAGAACAGAGACTGTTGCGAAATTAGGAACTGACAAGGGATTGGGCTTTCCTGTACTGAATGGATGGCCAGCTCTTTAAATCCATACATGCCCATATCGTTGAATCGGTAGTGGCGGACCAAGAGGGGGTCCATGTCGCTGCTGAGACCCATGAACTGCGGGTTTGCACCTGCGGGATAGCCAGTATCTGGTGCAGATTCCATGCTCATGTTGGGTGATTCAGTCTCAAGAGCAGCGACAGACAGCGAGTCAGGCGGCCGCGGACTACGGAACATGGCCTCAAATTCGGATTGCGTGGTGTCGAAGTTGAAGGCTTCGCCAAAGTGCATGGTCCCATCCTCGGGAAGCTGCCCATCGGCGAAGCTCCCGAGGACTTGACCTGGGCTTGGTGCGACTGTTTGCCTTCGAGGTGTTACGTCAACACTGGCGTCTACCGGGCCCGCGTGTGGTCCGTCGACTGGCACCGTTCTCTTTCGGGGCGCTGCAGCCTCGATGAAGGTGCACTCACGCCCATGCAAGACGCAAAGACGACATGGCGGCGCCAGGTCGATGCGACATGCCGTCTTCCGTGCACGGCAGAAATCACATGGCCGCTGGCGTTTGCTCATGTAACGACGCGGTTGGGTGATGTTGCTGGACATCGTGGACGCGTTGGTACGTTAGGGTATAGAAAGACGAGCCACGCCGGTGTCAGATGAAAGATAATTGTGTTGACATGCCAATCTCATGTTAAAACGTTGAATCCAGGTGACATCAGCTCGAATTTGAGGCGCTGCCCATATTAACTCATGGATGTCGGAGAGGATTTGAATCTGGTCAAACGAACTTTTTTCGCCGGCCGCGATAGAACCCTTGGGGCACACTATCTGGCAGCTCCAGATGGCGCCAGCTGGCGCAATGAACCCCCTTTTTGGCCTTCACGAAACAACTATGTGCTCTTCGACTTGACAATACATTGACCAGATTTGGGAAATGTGGCAAAATAATTCATGAAGCTCATTGATTCGGGCGTTGTTTCCTCCGACAAAACAGCTTCACTGCACTCCCTGAAAAAGCCAGCCGCAGCCAGTCGTATCTCCATGTACGCCACGTGAATGCCGATACAGATGCGAGATCCGGACCCAAACGGCGCGACGACGGCTTTGGCGTCTCTGGACATATTTGACTCTGGGAACCATCTCTCCGGATTGAATCTAGACATATCCTATTAGCGTCGGAACATCGGTCGCAGATATAGCCAAGTCACCTACTCCAACGCGTTTGGGAACAAGTCCTCCTTTCTATGCATTGTGTAACTTTGGGCGCTAACGGTGGTCTTCTCGGGGATCATGAATCCTTCCAAATTCAAGCCGCCAGCGGGTGCTCTCCTTGGGAAAGCGCCCTGCGCTGCAGCGAAAAGACGATTCGTCTCGCTGATAGTGGCATTCAGCAAAGGCAAACTCTCTACGTCCGCATCTGTGAAGATGTCTGGCAAAGTTGCGACTTCTGCCTCAATTGCCGCCTGAAGTTTCGGACGGGATAAAACGGCATATATGAGATAGGACAGAGTAACAGCTGTTGTATCGGTAGCAGCGACCGTAAAGTTTCCGGCCTCGTTCTTGATGTCGAACTCGGTTAGGATCTCTCCCTTTTCGGCGCCAGCCAAAATCGTACCAAATATGTTTCGGTCTCCCATCTGCATTCGCTTTTTGCTGTTCTGTACAGCGCGGGAGGCGTAATCAAGGACGTAGTCCCATCCTCGGAAGGCTGTTCGACACCATGGGTGCGGGATCAAACGACCCACAGTCTTGATCAACGGCAGTTCTGCGGTCAGGCCGGAACTCTGGATGTAGATTGCCACCGAACGAATGAACTCATTTTTCTGATCAAAGTTAGATTTTCTTAGCAGCCGCGACATAACCAAACAACCGTCGTAATGACGAGCGCCTCACCTGTCCCTTTCCAAGCATGTCCCAAGACTCGCCGAACATTAGTTCCCCAGAAATATCCGATGTCATGAACGTCCACCATTTGAGCACATCGGCCTTTCCATTCTCCTTCAGATCATTCGCAATTCTAATCACGGCCTTCTTTGCGATTGCCTTGATGGTTTCTTCCCATTGGACTCTGAGCTGAGACTTGGTGAAGGCCCTGGCGAACATTTTCCGGCGTTGCGCATGCTCTTGATGATCGGTCATGGTGAACAAACCTGGGTAGGGATGTCCGCCGAGCTTTAGATACCACTCGTGCTTGCTACAACGAGAACCTACGGAGTAGATCTTTCTGTGGCCATCGACGGACACCACTGAAACCTCGCCAGGGCTGAGTCGCACGATGTCGCCATACTTGCGATGCAGGTCGTCGACGTAGAATATTCTTCTCCCCATGACAACATGGTACTTGAGGACATAGTGGGTGAAGTGAGTGTACCAAGGACCGGGCACGTACTTCAACGGCGAAAGCAAGGAACGGAGCGCAATCTGTTGTGGGAATGTCAGAATCGGACAGATAATGCCCATGTCTAGCAAAAGGATGTGATGGTACTTACTCGAACGCTTGAGATTATGACGATGCCAACCAAGAGAATGGTTGCGGGCTTACTGACGAGATCCATGTTGTTTTTCACAGTGGTTAAAGAAGCGGATGAGGGTGATCGCAGCGGTATTATTTCAGTTCAGAACAGTATTTGATATTTATAAGGTATCAATCGATACTAGGACATGAGTTCATGTTGCCATCATCAGTCTCAACCAAATGGAGAGGTGAACCTCAGTTCTCGGCGTCGGAAATCAAGAAAGTGCGAATGCACCCAGGTTGACTAAGACGCTGGCCGAGAACGCCTGCATTCCCACAAGGATGGCACTGCTTATTTCTGCCCATACTGTGGCTTAGGCTTCGATCGTCAATTTTCCCCGCTAGTCAAAGGCAGCGCTCTGTTAAAACTGCAATCTCGTGGCAGGTAGCGCCCGCATCCCGCTATTTCATCCCACCGGCTGTCTCCAGGTAAGGTGAAAAGCCCACCAAGAACATGAAACATAGCATATTGAATGTCCGTGTTCGTCCAATCAATGGCCTGATGTGTAGCCTGCTGCTGTCATAGATCGGCCAGTGGAACCACAGCACAGCTCGTCCCGGCGGGATGCCATGGCGGACTCTGGGCTTGGTGTTGTGCCGGCAGGTACTTACCGTTTAATTCGGACATTTTCTTTTTAGTCTCGCCGAATAGCTACTTTGAGGCTTTGATCTAATCTAATGACCATGAATAGATATAGGGCTGGGTTGTGTGCATTGCATGTTACGGCTGCAGGGTGTTTCGACCGAAGATGGGACAAAGTCATCCATCGGTCTAACAGGTCAACAGTAGTAGTAAAGTGTAGGGATCACGAAGACAACGACGATAACGATGACGATGACGACGAAGACGATAAAAGAAATAGGTATATCAAGAGTTGTAGGCAAGAATAAAGGCAATTGACTTTTTTTACACGGCATAGGAAAGGGTTAACTGGAAGTCTTCACACATTTGTTAATGACACCTATAATTACTTTTGTGTGATAGGTCTTTACCAATTGATCTGTCGAAAAACAGGGCTCTACAATGCATATTACTGCGTATTCCAAAAAAAAAGTCGGTCATAAGCTGGAAGGGTCACATATTGGAAGATGGGCCTTGCTTGCTAGACACAGTCAACGCCCATGACGCTCACATTTTGGACTCCTTTCTAAAAGGGTGCATGCTTCTTATTCGCCTCTGGCCTTTGGATGATGTGTAAAGTGAGACACCTTGGCTGGCGATAATTCAAAATTCAAGTCCTAACCTGGGGCATCTATCAGAGGAGATAAACGCGGTGTCGGTCCCTTCTGCCTCGAGATATGGGAGGCTGGCATATCCACAACTGTGAATTACCCCGCAGAGGACTTCCCCACGAACAAGTCACTGTGCCTACCTTGGGCCCAGAGTTCCCCAGCACAACACAGATCCAAACACGCCAGTGGACTGAAGACCTGGGATGTGGAAGAGAAAAGAAAACAGACGGCTCAGACGTTTCCTGGGCCAACCGCGGTGTCGGGGCCGAGACGGTTTTGAATACTCCACGGAGGTACTTGGGAGACTCAGGGTTTGAGGAGCAAGAAGTTGGAAGTCCATCATTGTCCATGAAGAATGGTACGACTCGAGAAAAGCAGAAACTGCTCTGCAAGCACTCTGCAAGCAGTCTGCGGCGATAACTCGACAGCCAGAGCCCGGCAGACTCCAGCATTACAGAGCAACAGGCCTCTCGATATGATTGGCAGGACACGCCGCAAAAGTTCCGTGTTCTGGGCCCGCAAACTTGCCGAGATAGCCGAGATAAGACACGGAAAGCCCCCACAACCGGCGCTGTCCGCGCGGCACCTCAAAGATAAGCGCACTTTTGTACACTATGATCAACTTTCCTCAAGCTGTTGACATCTCGGTCATCGGTGGACAAAGGCGGCCACGTCCTGGAACACTCCATCCCCCATTCATTGTAAAAAACTCCGATTTGCCTGATTGACCGTACAATCTGCAACGCGCCGCTAGCCGTGGCAAGGATATTCAGAAAGCTCGCGTTGATGTCGAAGGGTCGCCGATAGTGCCTCTTTGCTGAATATGTCTCGTTGTAATGTTGAATATCCAAAAATGTTATGTGAGAGATCGTGCCATTATGATTCTAAGATACACAGTACTACGGCACTCCTGAGCCTCGCACAAAGATGGGCCAGCAAGAAGACAACATTGAGAAATCAGACAGCCCGAGAAGAAGTCGATTCGAGGCCGCGACATCAACCGGCATCCCTAGCATGAACCTCTCCAGGGTGGCGTGTAGTGCGCACGCGACAATCTGGAAGCCCGCAAATCACTTCCGCGTTAGGGCCTCCACCCGGGTAGGTGGGTAGCATCGAAGAGGAACCCACCGTGATAGGTAAAGGTGAAAAATTAAAAAAGGCGCGCCGGCAGGCCGCATTTCTAGAATAAGATGCCCCGTCTTGGCAGCCTTCCTACGCCAAGAGAGTTTGTGTCCCTTTGACTAGGTTCTACATACCTTCGTTCAACGTCAACCCTCAACCGCGACTTACACCAAGCTCAACGCTGAGCCCGACTAAACTCGGTCCCGACGACGGTCGCTGCTGCGATGGATCGCTACGACGAGAAAGGCATGGGCGAGAAAACGTCGTCGCCCCAGCGCTCTCTGGAGGCCGGCAGCGATGACTCTCCAAAGGAGACTGGCATTCTGGCCACTCTGCGCCGGTGCGAGGGCAGAATGGACAGAGCTTTGGGCGTTGAGTCTCACGCCATCGACCGCAAGACGGAGGCCGACAAGCGCCCCGTCAAGTGGCATGAGGAGTTGACCATGGCTCTTCTGTGGGCGTCTGGTACGATGGGTATCAGCTGCTTCGCAACAGGTTTCCTCGGGTGGGAGTTTGGCCTTGACCTGAAGCGGGCCATTCCCATCTTCATCTTTGGCTCCATCCTCGGCGGTGCCGTGTCTGGGTACTGTGCCACCTTTGGTGCGGCGACCGGTCTGCGTCAGATTTCGGTATCGCGGTACAGCTTTGGCTGGTGGCCGAACAAGCTCATCGCATTCTTGAATGGTCTCGAGCAGCTTGGCTGGGCCTCTGTCGCATCCATTAGTGGCGGGTTGGCGCTGACTGCCGTTGCCGATGGCCGCATCTCCTTGGTCGTCGGCGTCATCATCATCGCTGTCGTATCGCTTCTGGTCAGCTTTCTCGGTCTGCGCTACATCCTGGTCTATGAGCGCTATGCGTGGCTCATCTACCTCATCATCTTCATTATTATCTTCAGCATGGTTGGTCCCTATGCCGACGACGTCACCCCGGCCCAGGTCACAGGCGCCGATCTTTCTGCCAGCGCTCTCTCCCTTCTTGCGGTGGTCTACGGAAGCTCCGCATCGTGGGCCACCATGGTCTCCGACTACTACGTCCAGTACCCGACCAATGTTTCCAGACTCAAGGTGTTCACCCTTACGACTCTCGGCATCGCTATCCCCACGTCCATCGGTATGACCGCTGGTGCCGTGGTGGCCAGCTCTCTGAACAACCAAACAGCCTGGAAGGACGCCTACGAGAACGAAGGCCTTGGCTTCCTGATCCGAGACATGCTGCACCCGCGAGGCTTCGCCAAGTTTCTCCTCGTCATCTTCTCCTTCAGCGGCATCAACACCAACATTATCTCCCTCTACTCCGCCGCTATCTCCTTCCAGCAGATGGCCCGCCCCCTCGCCAAAATCCCCCGGTTCCTCTGGACTTTCCTCTGCTTTGCTGTTGTCGTTGGACTGGCCGTCGGCGGCCGCAGCCAGTTGAACACCTACCTGCAAAACTTCCTCAGCTTGTTGGGCTACTGGTGCACGAGCTATTTTGTCATCCTGCTGATGGAACACACCATCTTCCGGCGTGGATACTTCGCCAACTACGATCTCGAAGGTTGGAACGATCCGAGCCGCTTACCTCTTGGCATCGGAGCTAGCGTTGCCTTCCTGGTCGGGGTGGTCGCGTGGTGCATGGGCATGGTTGAGACCTGGTTTGTGGGACCTCTTGGCGGGCTGATTGGCGAGTCTGGGGGTGACATTGCCAACGAGCTGACGCTTGTGGTGTCTGCTTTGGCATATTTGCCGGCTCGTTACCTTGAGTTGAAATATTTCGGCCGATAGGTGGTTTCTTTCCGCAACTGAGCAACATCGGCAACACAGTTGGTTGCCTGAGGGCTCTCTTTCACCAGCTTCGCCCCTTCTCCCGTGTATATGATTCTTTCACGCCAAATACAAGATAAAGATCCCGAGTTCGAAAAACACGGACTAGCATCAGTCTTCACAGTTCATGTTCCCTGGGTCTGCCGGTGGCATTGTGTTACCCCTCTTTGTGGGGGACTTCGTGGGGGCCAAATCTCGGGAAGAAGTCCGTGACGGATCCATGGCTGTAGGAGCGAGGTCCCGATAGCTACCTCTCCTCCGGCATTTCCGGATGGGCGGCTCCAACGATGATGAGGCAAAATCGAGAAATTCACAGAAAAGGGGCCAGCTGACACAGATGCCTATCGCATCACTTTCACGGCTCATATCATTACAATCTACCCCAGGTATCTTAGCTATCCTAGAACAAGTCCGTAACTGCACCATCTGAGGCGCTAGCCACCAGCTTCGCGTACTTGGCGAGAGTACCTCTCGTCACGGGAGGCCTGGGCGGCTTCCACAAACGCAATCTCTCCTTGATATCTTCGTCGCCCACGTTCATGCTAATCGTACACGTCTCGGCGTCGATGCTGATCATGTCTCCGTCCTTGATAGCGGCAATAGGTCCGCCGACCGCCGCCTCGGGGACAATGTGTCCCACGATGAATCCGTGGGAAGCGCCAGAATATCTTCCGTCCGTGATCAGGGCGACGTTCTTGAGGTTGGCACCAATCAAGGTCGCAGACGCCTTCAGCTGTTCCGGCATTCCAGGGCCGCCCTTAGGGCCTTCGTAACGGACAACGAGGACGATGTTCCTGTCGCGGGGGATGTTGCCGGCATTGAGCTCTGTGACGAGCTCGGATTCCTTGTTGAAGCAGCGCGCCTCGCCTTCGAAGCGCAGGCCCTCCTTGCCAGTGATCTTGGCTACTGCGCCGCCGGGGGCGATGTTGCCGTGCAGCACGACGAGATGGCCGGCGGCCTTGATGGGGTTGGAGAGGGGTCTGATGATATCCTGCTGAGGGGGCAGAGATGGCCAGTCGGCGACATTCTCCTCGAGCGTCTTGCCGGTGACTGTGAGAGTCTTCCCGTTGAGCAGGCCTCCTGCGATGAGGAGCTTGGTGACTGATGGGACGCCGCCGATGTGGAAAAGGTCTTCGATCACGTACTTGCCGCTGGGCTTGAGGTTGGCGATGAAGGGGGTCTTTCGAGAGACGCGCTGGAAGTCTTCGAGGTCGAGGGGGACTTCAGCTGCTCTGGCCATAGCAAGAGTGTGCAGGACGGAGTTGGTGGATCCTCCCAAGGCCATCGTGATGACGAGTGCGTTCTCGAAGGACTCCTTGGTGAGAATATCCCTAGGTCGAATGTTGCGGCGCAGGCAGACCTCAATAGCATCGGCAACCTTTTCCGCTTCCCTCATCTTGGTGGGGGACGCCGCCGGAGTACTAGATGAGCCCGTGACGGATAGACCAAGTGTCTCGATGATGGTGGCCAGACTGTTCGCAGTGTACATGCCACCACAAGCACCAGGACCCGGTACGGCGCCCTTTTCAATGGATGACAGAATCTCCTCGGGCGTGACATTCTTGTCGTCGGACCAGGAGCCCAGCGTACCGAACAGGTAAGCACCCTGAGCCTCATAGCAAGTGACAATGTCGATAGGCTTCTTCAACACTTCGCAGTAGCCACCGGCAACAGTGCCACCGTAGACGATGACTGATGGACGGTTGTGTCTGGCGACTGCCATGACGCAGCCTGGCATGTTCTTGTCGCATCCGGGGATGGCGACAGTGGCGTCGTGAGCTTGGGCGCAAGTGATTGTTTCGATATTGTCGGCGATGAGCTCTCGAGACTGCAGGGAGAATCTCATGCCCTCGTTGCCTTGGGCAATACCGTCGGAGACTCCCAGCGTGCTGTACTGCCAAGCGATGTAACCCTTCTTCTTGATGGCCTCTTTGACTGTCTTTCCCAGATCCAGGAGATGCATGTTGCATGGGTTGCCCTCCCACCATACTGAGGCAACGCCAACTTGAGGGGCCCTCTGCATCATCTCCTCGTTAGGAACACCAGCTGCGTAGAGCATTGCCTGTTGAACATGTTAGCCTGCATCCTTTGAAGGGATATTTTGACACTTCTTACCTTGGCACCAGGAAAATCATGCTCGCGAGTGAGGAAGGTTGAAAACTTGTTAAGAACCGGCTCTCCATTTTCCCAAGTGGCGTCATTCGGGGCAATGGGGAAGTCGACGTATCTCGGCTCATGTTGTCCCTGTTCCTCGCCAGCGGCGGGATGGACCGCACTAAAGTTTGAGACCATCTTGTGTACTTCAAGAAGGCTTCACAAATGTAAGAGGAGATGGGATTTAAGCCAAAGAAAAGTGCACCGAACTCGGAGAACAATCGGGGCCGACGATGTTTTTATAAAAACACACACAGATTCACTGCACCGGCCCCAGACCCCATTCACCTGCTAACACAATTCCACAGTGAACACGGGGGTGCGGGGTAGAAACCAACCGAGCTTCTCACGATACACGGCGTCTCCAATCACGTAACAGTGAATACCGGTTCGTGAGGAGAAAACTGGGAATTTTTAATGGAGCCGCGCGACGGGATGACTGACGACTAATCGATATAGGCCGGATGCGATTTGTTGGCGCGGTGCCGGTGGAGCAAGCCTAATGCTGACGAGTCTTGTGTTGGGGGAGAACCCCGCACCAGACCCGGAGAACAGTCCGGCTCGCCTTGCGGGTTCTGGATCCCGAAGGACGGACTTCTGCCGAGTGTTTGGAGGCATCACGGGGAACATGGGGGAGTGAATAGACGTGAAGAGAACGTGGGGTAGTGAGTTGATGCGGCTGGGATCACGGGTTTTGAAATCCGATGAATGTTATTCGGTGAAGGCGAGCTATCCATTGCCCAAGAGCAAGGATCTCAGCTCATTTGATCTTGTTTATCATGATCTTGCGTGCGTGGATGTCTTGATAACAATACGTCTATCATACCGTCTTCTTGGTGATGGGAATGTACCTCATCCACGGATGCTCTTCCCTAAATCCCAACATTGCTTGAATCTTCCTATTCGACATTGGCGCCTCACGCTCTCCCATCTCCCGCGTAAATGGTGTCGACGGGCTCACGCGGTTCAGGAACGCAGTCGTGTTCTCCGTATTTGTGATCTCGTCGTTCGTGGCATTGAACACTTGCCAGCCCAATCCGTTCCTCTCAAGCCCGAGATGGCACATCTGCCCGAGGTCTCGCGCATCAATGTAGGACCATCCGTGAACATCCCAGGACTCTGGCTGGTTGATGTAGCCAGAGAAGCTCTCGGCGTACTTCTCAGGCTCAATGACAGCACCAATGCGAAGACAGTAAATATCCACGCCGAACCGACTCGCGAAGCTTCTGGCAATGGTCTCTCCCACGATCTTGGAAAGCGCGTAAGGATCCGTGGGGTTGCAGTCGGTCTCCTCGTCGATGGGAAATGAGGTGAACTGGCGCCGCTCCTCGGCAAAGGTGACACCGTAGACACAGACGCTGCTCGCCAGAATGACCTTCTTAATGCCCAATTTGCATGCTGCCTCAACGACGTTGTGGATGCTGTTGACATTTGTCTTGAAGATTTCATTATCAGGAGCAAGGAGCGGCCGGGCGTAGCCGGCGAAATGGATGACCGCGTCAGGGATCGAAGACTTCTCGAGGGGCTGGCTGAGGCGGAGTTGAGTGTGAAGCGCGCTGTAGACCTGGCCGGCATCGCTCACATCGCATCTCATCGTGTGGACGGCGGGGTTGTCGAGAGGGACGATGTCGAGGTTGATCACCTCGTGACCGTAACGAAGGAGTTCCTGGATCACCCATCGGCCTGCGACGCCGGAGCCGCCGGTGAAGACGACGCGTTTGCCCATGATGTGTTGATGCTTGAACACAACGAAGGCAGCTCTTTGTTGACTGCTGGCGGTCGGCCCTCAAAGCGCCGAGGATAAACAAACGTGTCTGAGGCTCCCTTGCATTCCTCGCGGGCCTTACGCGCGAATATCACTTCTTTTGAGAGGAGATTGCTGCGCTGTGAGACCCGAAGTTGCACCGAGTCAAGAGGTCCCTGCCAGATGATCCCCTCCCCCACTCTGTAGGGCTTTCCCCGCACGGTATTGAAGTGGTCAGGGGTCGTATTGAGTACGGTCGTCACTCAGGAGATGCCCTAGCCAATCAGGTCTTCACATCATGGACTGTGTCTTTGGTAGGTGGTGTGAAATGAACATGATCAACACTCTGATTCATTGAGACAATTTTCCTTTGTATTCAAGGCATCAGGTTTGTGTTTTGGCTTTTGAACATGACGATGTGTGGATCTCCAAGTACTGATCAAAGACTCGCAGAGACACGGGTCTTGTTCCGTGTTCTTCTAAAAATACATGCCATAATTGCCCAAAGTGAAGTATGTTTTCAGCAACGCATGGACAAAAATCTCAGGCGCATTGATAGTAGTAAGGCGCCGACACTCCCTGGCAGCTCGATCCAGACTAACAGGCAGATATCAGCAGCTTTTTCATCAAAACTGGAAGGGACCAAACTTACCGCGCAAGTAGTACACCCTGTCCATCCTTGCCCACCGCACTGCCCGTACTTAGCAACCGTACACGACGGCGGACTCCCAGTACCAGGAGAAGTGCCGCCACCGCCGCCGCCGCCGCCAGTGACCGGAATCACAGTCCCAACCGGGCCCTTGCTAGCATCGCAAGTCGAGGCACATCCGCTACCGCACCCGGAGCCCGCCGCCTTCGTCGTTCCAATCGAAGCCACAGCGCCTCCCGGCACAACGTACCCAGACAGCTTGCTGTGGATATTCACCAGAATCCCAGGATCACTCGCCTTGTACGCTCCAGGAAAACTAACAGTCGACGGCTTGGCCGTGCCAGTACCCCCAGAGATCGAGATCTGATAGCATGTCATGTAGAACTGCGCACCACCGGAAGACCCAGCAGTGTGTAACGCAATGACCTCAGCTCGTAGGAGATAGTCGCCGTCGGCAAGGTCCTTGCTGATAGGCACGTCCATCTTCCCGCAGCAGGCATTGAGGTCTTTGACGCCCCAGTTGTCATCGTCGCCAGAGCCCGCGCCGGACTTGGCGGACCAGCCGTCTTCAAAGATCTTGAACCAGGCCGAGGACCCGTCGGCTGAGGCGGCGTTGTCGACTTTGCTAAGGTAGACGATTACGGGGCCGTAGTGGGAGCCGCCGATCGCTTCGTTCTTGCAGTTCCGGTCACCGGGTTGCTAGATTAAATGTTAGATCAGTCTCAAAACATGGGATAACTCGAGTAGTAAGGGCTCCGTACCGCGTGCATCTCAATGGTTACTGTGCCGCCGGCCTTGACGGGGCATTTGGCACCGACACCTTGCGTTCCCCCGACGTTACACCGGATGTCAGACCCAGCGACGTTGGTTACTGGCGAATTACTTGGAGGTACTCTGGCGCATTGCGATCCGTGAACAAGAGTTAGTCAAGCAGTTCTATAGTATTTGAAGTGAGATGTGGACTTATCATGTCAGCTCCATCAACCCATAATTGTTGAAAGATGGAATGTCCCACAACACCTTGCGCAAGAAGCGCCGCTGCCACAATAGCGATCGACTTCATGATGATTAACTAAGCCAACTTGTTGGGGATACTTTGCAATTACTCTGATCGTCTTCCTTTGCCCAGAGGGACATCCAACCAGCAGATGTTGGGCCTATGCTTCTTTATACGCATTTCGGATATGGCTAACACGCAGTCAACGTATCACTGCATTCCTTGCGTATGGGGCTTGAGTGGCAATCTCTCGGAGTGAGGAGCAAGCCGTCCATGGTCAGCTTTGCCTTATGAACTGTCGGTGCTTCTGCATCAGAACGTAGGGTTACAGCGGGCAGACGTTCCCGGCAGCGACCACGGCACATCTTTCGACAGACTTTGGGAACAGTCATATGGTAGGGTTTAGATTGGCAGAGAAAGTACGGTACACTAAGATGGTAAGCAAATGTGTTCTTTTCTGGTTGAGAAGCCTTGGCAATATGTCCGGTTGAAATAGCCTGTAGACCGGTAGAAGTCGCCGGCGAGGTAAGTTCCGGATGGAACCAAAAGCGATGGGCACCGGCAGATATTGGTTTTCTGTATACCTAGGTGGCTAATAGTACTGCGTTGAAACAAGCCACCTGCTACCTAAATTTGCGACAATTATCAAATGTCCCGACTTGTGGTTCAACACGACGAGCACCGAGAAATAAAGCAACCCATGAATTCATTAAATCTATCTAACATGATGTGACGTTGTAAGCATTAAGACATAATCTCTGCCAAGGCCTGATTCCCGACATGTTATTACATGATAAGTCTGTGTAGATATGCGTCATCACGCGTGAGCGTGTCTCATGCGAAAAGCAAATATCCTACCAACACCGTAAAAAAACAACATTGCCCCATGATTAATTGGAGTGGGGGCGCTGCAAATATCTCAAGATCTCGGGATCTTGACTCGGAGGGCACTTCTTGCCATCAATTCCAATGGATGTGAGCAAGATCGGGTCCTCTTTGGGAGTCCCAGGGTGGACTTCGAGGCCGTAGGATAGCTCAACCTTCGCGTACCGCGCATTCTCGATCAGCTGAGGCACGTCGATCTCGTTGTCGCCTGTTCCAGCCCGGGCCGCGCGCGCCAAGGCCTCTCTCTGAGCGGCGGGGATGCTGGAAACGCGACCGGCGAGTCCGCCACCGGGCGGTGGTGTCGTGCTACCCCATTCGTAGTTCATTGGCCGCAGGAGTGCTGCGCCGGTCTGCAAGACCCAACTCTCCATTGCTCCCAAGTCTTCTGCTTCCTCTTCCGCCTTCTTCCTCCATCTGGAGGGCAAGAGCTTGGACATGCCGTAGAGGGTGCCAACGAAGGCTCGCTTGATCATCTGGAAGAAAGCATACACCCATTCATCAGGAATCTGGCGGATAATTGCTCCGAGGGGAATGACCAATACGCCGAAGAGCATGGACCAGCCCCATTGCGGGCCGTCGAGAGGGCGGGTGTCGAAGGCCTGACCACCCTTCCAGATGATGATCATCTGACCTGCTAGAGTGGCGCACTGGACGCCGATGAACCACGGGTTGCGGAGGACGCCTTGGTACCAGATATTAAGTCGGTTGTCGACACGACGGCAGTTGTGCTGGTTGAAAAACTGCATGAACACGTAGATGTTGAAGACCATTGTTTGGAAGGATTGTACTTGGTTCTGGTCGCTGGTGTCAATTCCCCAGAGAGACTCGCCGACGTAGTGCAGCGTGAACATCACGGCGAGCTGGTAGACGGCCTGGCACAGGATCATCTTCCACATGGTGATGGTGACGATGGGTGCCTTGCGGGGCTCTGGGCGCTGTCGAATGAAGTCGTGCGAAGGGTAGTCGGTAGCTAAGCCAAGCGACGCGAAGATGTCCATGATGAGATTGATCCAAAGAAGCTGGACAATCGTAAAGAGCGAGTCACCAACAAGCTCCGAGACGACGGTGAGGGTGCCGGCAGTGATGTTGATAGTGAATTGGAACTGCGCACTTTGTTAGCATCGACCCTGTGTCTTTCGCAGTGTTTGGTACTACTCACTTGCAGGAACTTCTTCACCGCGATGTTTACCGTTCGACCCCAGATCAAAGCTTTGACGATGGATGCAAAGTTATCATCAAGCAGGATGATAGATGCAGCCTCTTTGGATACTTCCGTGCCTTGGATTCCCATAGCAAAGCCCACATCAGCCGCCTTGAGGGCCAACGCGTCGTTGGTACCATCACCAGTAACAGCGACAGTCTCACCCATTCCCTTCAGGTGTGTGACAAGGAGTAGCTTGTCTTCCGGGCTAGACCTAGCCAGAACTTGGAGTCGAGGAATGACCAAGTCCAATTGAGCAGGTGTCAGCTTTCGGAACGTCGGCCCGTCCATAGCCAGACCTCCCGGACTGTAGATCCCGCACTCTTTTGCGATGGCTTTCGCAGTCAAGAAGTTGTCGCCGGTGACCATGCGGACGAACACGCCTGCGTCTTGACACTGGCGCACAGAGTCGGGGACTTCCGGTCGGAGAGGGTCGCGAATGCCAAACACTCCGACGAACGTCATATCGCTAAAGTGCTTCTCGAACTTGATCGAGTCGGGGTCATCGGGGTTCTCGAATGCTTCGGCGGAATCCACGTCTTTGTAGGCGACAACTATGGGCCGCAGCATCTGTGAGGCGTAGTCTCGGATCGTAGAACGCATGTCTTCGCGGGCATCGGCGGTGATGACTTGGACGGCGAGTCCTGTCTTTGGGTTCTTGAGGATGAAGGAGCACTGATCGAAGACCACCTCAGCCGCGCCCTTGACGAGAAGCCTGTATTTCCCTTCAGAAACCTTGGCCATGACCGCCATCCACTTGCGCGAGGCATCGAAGGGGAACATGTCGGCAACCTCGTTATTCGCTCGCTCTTCATTGAGAGGGCCCATAGATAGGAAGTCACGGCCGAATCTAAGCAAGGCCGTCTCGGTGCTTGTACCGACAAAGCCGGGATCTTTCGGATCATCGCTCTCGAACGCGGTTGAGTTGAGGGAGACACTGTTCTTCATCAACGTTTTCACATCGTCGCTGAGCGAGTCCAGAAGCCCTCGAGGGTTGTCGTCACTGGCCCCAGAGTCGCTGACAGCACCCTTATCAGCTTCGTCTGTCGTGGTTGACGGCACTTTTGCGATGTCACCGAAGCGCTCAGAGATGCCTATGCGGCCGGCAACGACAGTCATGTTGTTCTGGGTCAGCGTGCCTGTCTTGTCAGAGCAGATACACGTCGCGTTGCCCATAATCTCACATGAACGAATGAGGCGAACCAGGTTCTTATCCTTCAGCATTCTGGTGGTGGCAAAGGCAAGGGCAAGCGTCACCGCAAGAGCAAGACCTTCCGGCACGGTGATCACGACAACAGTGACGGCAAGGATGAGTAGTTTGAAGAAAGTTTCGGCCTTCTCCGAGGAACTACCAGACATCGATCGAAGTCCCACCAAGAAGCGAATGAAGAGGATGAGGAAAAATATGATGCCGGCGATGGCGCCAAAGGTGATGAGCTGCTTGGCGAGCTTACCCAACTTCTGCTGCAGCGGAGTTTCATCCACGTCTTCTCTCAGCGACATCAGAGTCCTACCGTAGGTCGAATTGGTGCCAACAGAGGTGACCAAGTACGCGCCGACACCACCAGAAACCGTCGTGCCGCTGAGGATGAATGGGTCAGTTGCCGATGATCTGTGAGCCTTCTTGTTGCGAATGTCACTATCGCTGGGGACGTTCTTGTGCACCAGTTCCGACTCGCCAGAGATCGTCGACTCGTCGATCTGAATACCAGAGCCTTGGACTAGGACACCATCAACAGCGACAACATCACCGGTCTCTATGTGCATGATGTCCCCCACCAGCACCTCGTATACCGATAGGTTCTGCGTCTTGCCCGATCGAATGACCTTGACGTCTCGTTGTTCCTTTCTCTCGTTGAGCTTCGCGAATCTGTGGTTCTTCTGCCAGTCCGTGGCTGCACTGGCGAAGACGATGACAAAGATGGCGACGACGACAGTCACTCCGTCGACCCATTGGATCTTGTTCTCGCTCTCCGCTGCATCGACGGACTCATAGATACCGAGGGCTAATGAGATTGTGGCCGAGAGTGTGAGGAGGAACATGAGCTTGTCATTGAACGCGATCCATGCTAACCTCATGAATGACTTTTGCTTCCGCTTGGGCAACCGGTTCTCGCCAAATATGCGTCTGCGGTCGGTGAAGCCCTTCTCTTCATGTTGGCCAATGTCCAGATCGATCTTGAAACCATGTTCGTGCGTTGGAGCTGACGGCAAGGGAGTGATTACGGCAGATCGGTGAGCCTTGCCGGCGGCCACTGCCTCTTGGAAGGATATCGCTCCATCGAGATCGGTCTCGTCGACACTGAGGCCAGCGGCGAGATCTGTCCGAAGACCTGCGGCCAATCCAGGGAGACCTCCGAAGGCTCGCAGCGCTGATAGGCTTCGGGCGGTGATCAGCTTATGCAGCTGCGTCGGCGTGAACGCAAACTTGTTGTTTGGGATGTTGGAATCATCGCGGAGGTCAAGCTGTTTCTCGTCGTCGCCCATTTGTTGTTTTGAAAAGTGGTGGTTGTACGAGCTTGACCCAGCTGGGCCGGAGTCCTGCTGTCGTGGTGCAGCAGTGATCTCGTCGGTCATCGTACGTATGGCTGCCCAGAGAAATTCGAACCGGCCGTGGAGTGTCGGTGAAAGTCAAAACTGGCAAGAATTGACGACAAGAAAAGACAGAACAGCCTTAGAGCGGGACCCCCTCCCTCGAAGCTGGGGGTGCCATTTGGTAATATGTTCTGGTCATTCCATCGCCAAGGGAGCCAGAGCTGCAGGTTGGGGGAACACCAAGACGGATCTCACGAGCCGCGTCATTGCATCTTGGCGAATCTCACTGCGGTGCCGAGAGAAGGTCCAAGGCTTCTCGGCACGCTATGGCGATGTGACTGGCTCGATTATGTACGGCTCTGGGGGCCGTATGGGTTGCACAAGCCTTATGGTCTGGGGACCGGTGGGGGTGCTGAGAGGGACCGGACCCTCATGGAGCGCAAACAGTGAGACTCGGCGTTACGACATTCTTGTGGCACGTGGCCATCGGGCGTTCCGGTTACGTTTGCCTCCATCATGAGGTTCCGGTCACGGGGCGAGGCGGAGATCCATGTTTCCTGAAAGTTTATCGCCTCCGTGGCCGTTCGCGGTGGTCGTCGGGGCCTCAAACGCCGTGTTTTCGGTGTCGGCGTGGCTGTGTTTTCCTCGGAGGTTGAAGGAGCTGTGGATATCGCCAGGGGGCAACTTTCTGCTTGTTCAAGCGCGAAGTGGGAAGCCTCAATTTGGCCTTGGCGCGGTGCCGCGGCTAACCGGCAAGGAAGCCCCTTGGCGGGATCCGTCTCCAGAGACCTCGCTTCGACCCCTGACATCATTTGCTTCGGAGTTATTTATGTAACGAGGTGGCTATATCTGATGCCAAGCGGAGACGCACTGACTCAATCAGGAGCTGTGATCTGCAACATGCGACTGATTTTGTGCAGCATTTTGGCTGATCCCAATTGAATGATGGGTCAACGGTCAACGATGAACCTACTTCAAAGACTTGAAGACGACCGCTGTCCTAGAGAGAACACGCGCAACTCCGGTTTGGTTTCTTGAGCCAACGGTCGGACTTTTCAATGAAAGCCGACTGCTTTTGTTGCGCAGCAGTCACGGGCATACCGACATCCTCCCCTCAGCTTGGAGTGAAACTCATAGTCCCTCGCAGGTTTCAATAATCAACGCTTGATGCGAAGATGGCGCAGAGTATCTGATTCAGGCTATTCCGCCCATTCTAACGAAGAAATGTTGCAGAAATAAGGTTAACCTTGATGAGATGGGTAGAAGGAGACGTCAGCGAATCAACACTAAGTAACTGGACATGCCGAGACTGACCTATGCTGTCTTCGATCCTTTGCGTTGGCCATATCCACAAGCCGCGGAAGCCGAGTCAAAGAGACAGTCGGACGGACAAACCTATGGTAATGTTGGAATCTACTTTGAGTTGATGGAAGTACGAGAACGCGAGTTGCTCGTTCTGCAAATGGACTTTCGGCATGTCGGAGCTAACCTGTTTACTATATTGTGATTGCGATCGAACAGCAAATGATGGGGTGCTTGTCAAATAAACTTTATCACCGCCTCCGTGTTGCCAGGCACTTGAGTCGTAACGCATTAATGGCCGCATTGCCGCGCCCGTCATCCGCCAGACACACCATCGCGAACTCCCAAGAATATTTAAAGCCCATCGCCGTCTGTCATTGTAGTTCATCCCATCTCCATCCATTCTACCATTGAACCCACAGTCTGATCAACTACCCACCTAATTCACTCTTTCGACTATCGTCATAATGAAGACCTCTTCCATCGTCCTCTACGCCGTCGCTGCCCTCGCTGGTCTGTCCGAGGCCAAGCGTGGTTGCAGACACGACAAGGCCAACCCCGGAATGGGCTGGTACTACATCGTCAGCGGAGACACCCTCAACGACATCGCGGCCGACTTCAGCACCACCGCTACCCACCTTGCCGAGATCAACGGCATTGCCAACCCCGACTCCATCCCCGCCGACAAGACCATTGTCGTCCCCTGCGCCTAAATTGAAACCCGATGAGCCCAGAATCGAATTGACCTTGGCGAGGTCGGACCTGCAACTTTCATCGTTAGGATGCGTGGGATACTGGACGGGGCCACTGATACGATTGAACATCATCATAGCCATCTGTTGCCCAGATTCTACTTGTTGTAGAAGCATAATACCCTCTGAAATACGATACATTTACTCGTTAGATGACCTACAAGACTCCCGGTGACAAGGACCCATCCTGCGTTATGGAGGGTGACTATCGAAAGCGGTTACTACAACTCAACGATTCGAATTGCTTCGATCGAGTACTTGTGCAGTATCAAACGTGGCTTCCTTACGACGGCCATTTAACTGTTGTCATTACAACGGTGTGCCAACATTTATTCACTGGTGAGATAATATTCACCGAGTTCGTTCCCAGATCAGGAAAATCAAATAATGATGCTGGCAATCGCCCGCAGCTGCAAAAGAACAACACTCTACGTCGGACTGTTACGGCCGCCCACCCCCTATCCATAAATGAACCATAATTGAGGCTTGTTGCGAAAGTAACGCCAAGTCCTTCGCCATTGTGACTAATTGAGTTTGAACGAGCCACGGCACAACCCCTGAGACGTCATGATACCTCGCGGATCAACGGCCTTCTGGATTCTCTGAAGACGCAGCTTGTTCGTCTCCCCGTACCCAGAAAATGGATCTTGGTCATGCTTCGCGTAGTTGATGTACAGCCATGGATGCAAAAGATTCATTTCCGATGCCCGCTGCTTGGATCGCGCCAGCCACCTGTCAGCGTAGGCATTCATCGCCTCGTCGTCTTCGCGATCTCGCCAGCCCAGAGTGAATAGAGCAACTGTCATTGTTAGGGCTGTTTCAACGTGTTTGGAAGCGGACTTACTGTTCAATGGTTCGTCGGACTCAATCCCCAAAGCATTTCCGCCGCGTACCTCCATCGCCTTGATGGCGTTGATGTGTAGCGCCTGAAGTACAATTGAAGACGTAAAGCCTGGTGTATCCTTAACCGCCTCGGCCTCTTCCGCAAATATGTCTTGTACTTGTTCATACAGCTCTCGGGATGGACGGAATGTGACGGTGGCGTACAATCGTCTGAGTCCGTGTCAGTTCATGAAACGATTATTGACCTGTGGTTTGAACAATTCCTTACCTCAATACACGAGAGCCGACGTTCTCCATCGCAAAATTACTCATCCAGTCCACACGCACGGTGCTGGATTCAAACGGTAGCTGGTTGAGGCTATCAAACACGGCGGGCTCGAGGATCGGCTCGTAATATGCTTGAGTGACGGACATTCGGAAACGACTCTCCGAAGAGTCCCAGAAATATCGAGTCGAGAAACACATGGAGGTGTCGTTGGATTTCGTTGTGGTGAGATCGAAGACCTCGTCGAGCAATGGCGCCGTGTAGTTGGCATGAAACGTCTTATCTCCCGACAACAACTTTCCTTGAGGTACGAGTCGAGAACGGAAGTTTGTGACAATGCCAAAGTTGTTGCCGCCTCCGCGCAGGGCAAAGTACAAGTCTGGGTTCACCGTCTCGCTGGCGTTGACGATCGTGGAGTTGGGCAGCACGACCTGAAGACGTTAGTATCAACACTGATTGTCGAGTCCATTTCCTGCCTGTGTAACTGACCTGATACTCGTAAACATTGTCCACTGCCAGCCCATACTGCGGGGATAGGTTCGAAATTCCTCCTCCGAGAGTGTAGCCAGGCACACCAACATCGGCGACTCGTCCCGCGATGTTTGACAATTCGTGCTGCTCTAACGTCGTGTACGCCTCTCCCAAAACCAATCCAGGGCCTAGATTGGCCCAGGATCTGTCATCTGCCAGCTCAACATGATCCATTCGGTTCAAGTCAATCGTTACCCCGCCAACCGAGTTGGAGGCGTCAATATTTGTCGAATGGCCCCCTCCCTTGACGGCGAACCGACACCAGTTGTCGACAATAATCTCAAGGGCCCTTGCAACATCACTGGTAGACGTGGGCTCTATGCGACAAGCTGGAACGACTTCTTGCTGCTTCGCGTCCCAGACTGAGAAGTCAGGGTCATTTCCTCCCATGTGGACTGCCGAACCAAACTCCAAGCTCAAGTGGCCACACTGTTGTAAGGTTATCTTCTTGGAAATTGCACTAAAATCAAAGTCACTTACTGCTTGCTCACAGCTGGAACTGGAAAGACTGATTTCATTGTTCCTCTGAGGCTGGTTCGCCAGAAAAGCGGGCAAGAAAGAACTGCCCAGCATGGCTGCAATATGTCCTTGAGTACGCCGTGCAGGGAAATATGAGATCTGGATGCTTGTGTAGCCTGTGGAGAATTGGGGTAAAGAAATGGAATGATGGTACTCATGTGCGCGACCTCTGGCATCGATTGCAACCTGATTTCATAAGCGCCGTGAAGCCAGAAGACAGGCGTCTATCAGCCTAAGAAGAGTCCGTTATCTTTTACCTTCGCTCGATTGCAGATGATGCCAATCGCAGGACTTGTTGATACGAGAGGCGAATGAATGGCCGTGGAATATTGCAGCGGTTAGGTACCAGGTCTAGCTATTCTTGGTCTAGAACAGCATGTCTTGGCAGCAGATGCATTCGCTGACGTCAATCTCGTCGCGTTGAAGTACCACATGCCCGGGACCCACTGTCAGTTGGGGTTCGTATCTAACTCCGAGATCTCTATGGCGGTAGCATCCGGCCCCGCATGTCAGCAATTTACAGATGATTGGCTTGCACTGCTCCCACCTCACTGCAGTTCAAATCATCTTCCACGCATGATAAGCTCAAGTCAACAAAACAGCATACCAGTCTGTTCATCGGAGGAGAGAGATGCAAAGAAGACGATTTCTTTGAGGGGTGTTTGCGAGCGCCCCTTGGTTCCTTTGCTGCAGCCACTATAAGAACATTCAGCCAAACTGGGTTCCCAAAGACCATTCCTTTGACAGCGGGGGAACTTAGTGTACCCCAAGGTCGAAAGCGCGCCTGTTGTTTTTACAGAATGTAGGGAGACGTCGATATGAAACGAGCAACCAGATGCTGCAAAGAAGCATCGTAGTGAGACCCAAGACTCTTGGCTCCCAGGAAACGGGCATATCGCCCTGTCGCCATGAGTGCGCCGATAGAATGGGAAGTCAAGTTCCATCTACTGTGACACATCCATTGCTTTGGACAGCAGAATGACTCCAGGCTATCACTGATTACCGTCGACCAAGTTGACAAGACGCGGCCGAAAGACTAGTTCAATGTTTGGATACCTACTGGAGATGATGCCCTGATCTCAAGCTCTCATCCCACTTTTACGAGTTAGGTGCTGCTTCTCACATTCTAGCTGCATGCCTAGCCACCACTTCGTGGGCAATCGCCGAAGCATATGACTCCGGCATGCGGCGGAGCGTTCCCTTCATGGTGCGGGAGGCCATCCATGCCCGACTATCTATACCTGATGAGGATGCAGTCAGGAAAAGCTCTCACACACGCATGCGTTGAGTTATATTCATAGACATCTACAATGCCTGAAATGTCGACGAGTATCTGCAAAGCGGAGTATGCATTGGTAAGATCCAGACCTGGGTGCATTTACAGTCTTGGATCGACCGCAAGATGGGCTGCTACTTGATTCAGGCCGGTTTCTGAAGTCGATCAATCGCCCAAATACATTGTGTAATAGATAGTTGAGATGTTCACTCATCCGGCCCAAATATGAGTAAAACATAAGTCGATGGATGGAGTTATGACTACTGACGAAGATTAATCTCACCTTTTGAGCCTCGCTATTCTAAGGAGTCGGTTGTAGAACCTCCTATGTAAGTGGCCTGACTCGATCCATGCTGAATCAATTGGATGTGATATCGACCCAAATATAGGCGCAAGGGCTGGATCTCCGGCTTCTGACGGCGCGTCATGGGTAGTCGATGAATACGAAGCCTTGCCTATCTTGCGATGAATTTGCCGCTGAAGTTCCTCGTCCTTTTCAATTTCCTCCGCCAGGTCCAGAGGCAGCCGAGATTTCAGACCCTCAAGGTCTTCTTCCTTGACTACTTGACCATTTGCGACGAAGAATCTTAGTATGTCGACTGTTTGAGACAAGTCAAAATTTCTCAGGCGAGTGAGAAATGACAGCCATTTCGTGTACGCAGCGTCAATGTCAGGACTAAACTCCATCAGAATTTCGGCCATTTCTGGTTCAAGTATGCTTTTCGAGATGATTGCTGTTTCGAGAAGAACATCCAACTCTTGCGCTGTTGGAGTGCCTTTGCTCAACAGCAAGTAACGAAGAAATGCCCAGAGACAGCCCTCGGCTGCAAGGAACTCCTTTGTCCTTGTTGGAGGAAAAGCCGCTTTGACGTTTTCTCTTGACGATGAAAGTTGTTTAAGTAAATGAAAGACTCTAAGGCAAATCTCAATGTATTCCTTGTGAAGTTCGAGAGTGTGTTGTCGATATTGAAGCTTCGATAAACAACCAAGAGTGTTACGGATCACGTCTTCCGTGGGTTGCTGAGGCGTTAGGCGGACTTTGGAGTTTAAGTCCATGATGAGGTGAAGAATATATCCGGCCAGAATTCCTTGGAGAGCATCAAAGTCTTGAGTTTCATTTTGAGAGAATAAGAAGCCATTCTGATGCGTGCGACTCTGAAGATATTCCTTCACGGTCCGGTGAAGGTATGAAACGAAAAGACCACATGATGCCTCTTCCATAGATGCTTGCTGCTGAATTTCTAAAAGCCCTCCACATCTGACGATGATTTTGCTTGCCATTTCTTGAGACCTCAAGTCAATCTGACGTTGATCAAGATGGCCTGGATGCATAACAAGTGCCTGCTTGATATCTGTATGAATTGCTGTGTGCAGCTGCAGGAGCGTCAGTTGCGTCATGGGTGCTCCGAGTTCTGAGGCCTTGTATACCGAGCGAAAGATTCTGGCCGCGTCGTCCTTATAAATATTGTCGACGCGAAGCATCTTGTCGTAGAGCTGCGATAGCTCTGTCGGGAACTCCCGTAGCCTTTGCTTTAGTTCAGTTATCCCGTCGCCATTACCTCGTCCTTGTAGCAAGGATTCAACGACGAGCTTAACCCAAAGGAAAACACCCTGCGCACAGCTTACGATTTCATCCACAAGTTCCGTAGCTGCGACTTGCTGGCCATGAGCGATTTCATCGCACCGCGCATCCCCTTCAAGTCTATCTGACACGAATCGGGCAATGTCTGGAGCCGTGAAATCTTGCAAGCGAAGCGAAGGAGCTTTTCGGAAGGCTTCAATGAATGGCCGATACGGGCGGCTAGATAAACAACATTTGACGTTTTCAAACGATGATATTTTTGTGAAAAGCCGAGCGATGTCAGTATTGTCTCCTTCGTATTCATCAAGTCCGTCGATAAACAGGCAGAGTTGGAGAGGATATTGTGTCTGTGATGCGATTCGATGTAGGGCCTCTTCTAGAGCTGAAGACGACCACGACACCTAAGCTAAAGTATTAGCATCTCAACGCCCCATGTATGTCGAAGGATAACTACCTACCGGAAGTGACCGATAACCCACTCCCACGTTGTCATCCGCATTCTCATTTTCCGCACGAACACGCTGATAATAACGCTTACTCCAAAGGTCTGGGAATGCCGTCGGAAGAAGGTGAGGGTACTCGCTGCATATCTCATGCAGTATTGACCTTAGGAGGCCAACTTGTGAGCTTTGGTTCTTGTCCCCGCCATTTAACCAGAAGAAGAACTTGGCGGTACACAAATGGTTTCCGTACCCGTCCGGGAACTTTACACTCCATTCGTGTAGAAGTTCATGCGTTCTTTCGTGTGAAACGACGTATTTCATCAAAGTTGATTTTCCTGACGCAGGTTTCCCACTGACCCAGTACACACCGCTACCGCCACGGAGCCACCCTGTAAAGTCACTCCAGATTCTTTTGCTTGCTTTTAAAGCGTCTTCGTCTGGCTGTTCGAATATCCAATGAAAGGTGTCTTCATGTGCCTCCACGACGTCGTCATAACGTGGTCGGGAAATCTTGATTTGAAGATCTTTGAGAATTCCGCGTCCCACTGAGTGTCTTTGTTGTCTTTCCGAGGTTGCAACCCGGACTATCTGGGAATGATCTTTCCTGGGGATATTAGGATTATCGTTCAGGACATCTTTGATCAGCACTGGAGATCCTTGGCCTGGTCCGACAATGACGTGCTCTACCCGACTCAATAGCATGCTAAGGGCCCTGACTTGTGATTCTAGTTGCCGAGACGCGGTCTGATGTCCTGACAAGAGACCGGTGATGATCATTCTGTTGTCAAGGCTTAAGCTTCTGAATCTTTCCGATTGCTGCGCCATCATGAAATCAAGCCGCGTACTATTACATGAACGTGGTTAGTTTGTACGTTCAACGCCCGAGACCGCGGAATAAAGCACTTCATACCTAATGGAAACCAAAAATGAACTTTGCACAAATTCGCTAGCCTTTCTCACAAGAGCACTCATATCGTTGATCCTGTCTTTCTTCCATACCCTGAGAAAAATTGCGTAAATGACGTTCATTGTTAGCTGAACCCGTTTTCTTTTCGACTTTTTCCGTTGATTGTTTTGATGTACGTCGGATTGTACCTTCACTTCATCCAAAATTGCCAGGAATTCTGAAGCGACAGTGAGACATTCTTTGCAGGCGGAGAAAAGCGCCTGATCCGCTTGATCCATTCTTTCGGCTTCGATGAGGTGTGGTAAATCGTCGTGTATCTTGGTGTGAAACTCTTGACATGATGTCTCAAGTGCCGTTATTTCCATCAATCGGATCATCCTCTCCGCATTGAGAGCTGCTTCTGCATCACTCTTTAGCTGACCTCTGCCCAGTATCTGCCAGACATCCTTTAGGAGCTTGCCAGCAAACTCTGTGAACTGCAGAACATTGCCAGCAAGGGCGAATGCAGCGATTAGCTCCATCGTGAACTGGGATGTGGTCAAAAGTGTCCAGGGAAGGAGCTTAGACTTCCGGGCCCATGATAGACAAGGAAGGAGAAGCTGTGAATTTAAGATAATGGAAGGGAGAAGAATCCGATCGGTTGGCAACACGGAACACTATGCAGCAGACGAGGCTTGGCACAAGTTCTGCCTTGGCAGCTGAGTATTACCCCTCCTTTTACCTCAATAAAAATAACGCCACCCAAGAGTCGGTCAGCATTAGGCTCCAGCACGCCATACTTAAATATGATTGACCGAAAGTGATGGCTGCCTGATTTAGGCCGACTTTGTGGCCCATGCAATCTTTTCTCTTTAAATCGATATGACTCAACTACTGAGCCTCATCAACGAACAGAAGACATGACGTGGAGACAGGACACCGGAGCCAACTGGTACCTGTAGAGATTGGTGAAGCCGCCTCGTTTGAACATTCAAGTGGTTCAAAGAGTTATCAGCAAAATGACCAACTCCCTCGAAGCGCTATGCCGGGCCTGCGATGGCTCTAGATCCAAATCCTCATCATGGAGGCTCGTCATTTCAATTGCAGTACTGTGTATAGCGATTGTCACTTGGATAAACGTCGCCTATCTCTTTCAAATCTTAGCCAAACGTTCGATGGCTTTTCAATCGCGGGGAACTTTGAATGCGACCAAAAAAGTTTCTCTCACCGAGTTCAGATTCAAGGTTGACTTCGAAATACCAGTCATCTTTGTTGGAGGGACAAATAACACAAGGAGTCCCCTCAGGAATCAGCCCTTTTGGGTTTTAGACGGTCATAACGAAGACTATTTCTTTCCCGAGGCACACTATATTCCGGAAAATGAAGGATGGAAGATGCTATTGTCAGCAATCCAGCGGATGGAGAGACATTCAAAACAATGGCAGGCAAATCAACTTGGGCAGCCAGATATCGACGCGGCCCCTGAACTGGATAATAGAACAGTCTCCGTCGCAGTTCAGCATCAGACATATTCTGCCGATGACCTGGACCGTTTATGTGCGATAACGACGATAAGCAACCTCATTGCGCTGGTAGCCCTTTTGGGCCTTCATTGGGTCGTCTTCGAGCCCGGGCAGGATCTATACAGAGCCGAAGGAAATGGTTATTTTTTGCAAGGTCGATTTATCAGTCGGCTCGGTCTTGCATTTGAATTTCAATCTGACAACATGAACAAGTTTGAAGAAAAACGCATCATTCCAGCCATCGAGATCAAAGAGCTTTGTTTCGGCCTTGTCCCTACGCTATTCCGAGATATTGAAGGGGAAGACGACATTTTTACTAGCTTAGATGATGTGAACAATTTTGGCAGCGTTGACCAGTTCATGAATTTCGACACTCTTGAACTCGGGAGCCGTTCTGAACTCGCCGACACTTTTACTTATCTAGGCTGTAAGCCAGAAACAGTGGAGGTATTCTTGAGTGATTCAAAAAGGATGACACATCTCTTTCCAGGTTCGTGATCATCAGCCGTTTGTGGCAAGAAGCTAACAGGTGTGATGTAGTCTCTTTTGAGCTCATTGGCATGCTTTCTCGCACATTCCATGTGTGGGATACGTCATTCCGCATGCTGCCAAATCCAACCATACATCGATGGAGTTCCACTTCAATGGATCTTTTGCATCTCTTAGCTATGTTTGGCTCAAGATTACAACAACCCCGCTACCCGCTCCAAACACGACAAACAGACGACATCTTGGACCGTATCGAGTCGATTGTGGTCCTTTATGATGTTGAGCCAAGGGGCTGCTCCCATAAGCTTCTCAACGAGATACACAGAGCCATCGATGACATTGACACGTACCTCAGAGAAGAAAATCGGCTTGCCATCAGACTCACTCTCCGAACCCACTTCGATACTGTCCTCGAACACTTGAACAATGGCAGTGAGACGTTTTTGAAGCTTAACTCAGAAGCAAGCTCCATCCGTGAAAGAGAATTAACACGGATATATTTCCGCGTAATTTTTCCTGCTGTTGTTGGGCCGAAGTCACCACCGGACAAGGCAGATACAAGAGAACACCGGAAGCATGGCGGTGTCACTTTTGTCAATCGAGAACATGACTCCGACTCGGACTCGTGTGACGAATTCTGGCTGGGCTGGGACGCAACTGGACTAGATGGCCGGTGTCAGAGGCTTCGTAAGAAGGCGGGGCTGGCTCTAGGAATCGAGGACAAACGAGCAAATATTTGGTACTGTCTCATGTTTCGCGCCATATTTTGGCTAATGCTGCATGATTTTGACAAGCGCGACGTTATGATACCAAAAAGTCGCTATCTCGGCAGCAAGCTTAAAGCATTCGTAATATAGACAGAAATACACATCTACATCTGGTCTGTTATCTATCGCAAAGACTGTGTTGGAGTGGTTCTTATCATCAATGTCCTCTTGTTATTCATTGGCTTACTAAATTAACCACGGTCGTCAGTCACGGAACCCATTCATAACTTACATCTTCGCTTTCGCTATCGAGGCCCCTCAAGGAGGCCGAAGGGCCAACTTCCCCACGCCAACTACTGCTAGATTTATTCGAGCTTACCAATGGCTTTTTTCTTTGGTCCGCCCGACGGACGAATTACTGGAGTTGGAGTGCGCAACGAGTACATATAGAGCGAGCGCTCCTCTTGAAACGGGTTTTCAGCTCTGACCACATCGCAATCTCCCAAGACAGCGGTGGGAGCCCAAGTAAGAATTGATTTCAGTTGAAAGCGTCACAGAAAAGCACTTTGTGCGAGTCACGCACGTCGCTACCGATGCTTTCTAGCAATCACAACGTCCCTTGAGGACCTCGATGAGAAGATAGTCCTTGAATCAGTCACGGGAGGCATTCAAGCCCCAGCCAATGAGATATGGCCGTTTTTGTCAGCAATCGGAGCTGAGAAAATACGGATACCGGGCTGCACCCGATCAGCAGTGTTGGAGGGTTACGGAGAGGGTGCTGTTCGGCGTGTCTACTTCGGCGAAACCTTCTTCGATGAGCGCATACTCGTTTGCGACCATGCTTCGTACAAGTTGAAGTACGGAGTGCATCAACCGAATCCCAGTTCTGCGAAGGGGGTGCTTGCGGCGGTTCAACTGCACGACTTGGGGGACAGAAGACTAAAGTCACATGGGTATCAGGCGCTACGGAGCTTCCACCAGAGCATGAAACGAGCACCAAGGAGCAAGCTGTAGGATTTTGTCAAGGGCAAATTGCATCCTTATGAAAACTCAGCCAGGCTACAATCTCTTCCTTCTAGAAGGCTTTCTGACCTTTCCACATTGCGAGTGCATGATGCAAAGAATATCAGCTATTGATTGAATAGTCTCAATATTACGCATAGACACTGTCTACTATGATTGTATTACACAACGCCCGGCAATAACTAAAATTTCAATAATTTCATTTTCCAACTGGTAGCCTGTTAGTGTTTGCTATAGACTCTGTAGTGATGAAGACACCTCAAATTGAAAGTCTCTTTCGCGACCAACGCTGAGATGGGTGTGAAGCGGTCTAGTCAACTACATTTGGAAACCACACAGGGACAGCCTTTCTAGCCTGGTGGTGGTGGTGGTGGTGATGGTTGTCTGGTCTGGTTTGGTGTGGTCTCGATCACAATTTGTTTGGCCTCATCATTTTTGGAACAAATGTATCGTATCGGCTGTCTACCTAGGCTTCTATGCAGTTGCGTTGATGATCGGATGGTTATAGGAACTGTGAAAAGCTCTTGTTCTTAGATGCCTCAAATCAAGCTCCAATTAACCTTTCCACCAAAGCCATCTGACATGGCCGTGCAAAATTCTTGCATCGCTTAATCAGTGGGGCATCCAGACGGGCACTTGGTGAGTGATTAGCTTGGATCCAAATTCATCCTCTGAAACCGGTTCTTACGCATGACGCCTGGCATTCGCCAGGAATATATGAACAGCAGCTGGGTTGGGAGGGGGTGTCGCCGCCTCTAGGTCGGCCAACGAGCTTCGGGTGCTCTAGGGCATTGGACTGCCTGATGGCCGGGTTGGCCATGGCCATAGCAGCAAAGAGAGTAACGATGGCAATCTTGAACTGCATTGTGAACTTTAGAGGCTGGTGTAGTTAAACTTGGGTTGAAAGATTGAGCCTTGAGGCAGTGAAGGGATGAACTGAATGGTTTGGATGACTTCTCCTAAAAGCCAGATGATCTGGTTGCCGCCTTTTATGTCTGTTACTTCGGCTTCGTCGGGTCAACTCGATTCATGCTTTTTGTGGTGCTGTGTGTATGATAATTGATTTGCCGGTTCGGGAGTTGACTACGACTATCTAGGATAACTTGACCGAGATTAAGCAGGAGTATATCTAAGTTTGGGGAACTCGTAGCCGTTTGCACTAGTACTGCCAATCATGTTGGTCATAGTTTTCAACTCACACTTCAAGTCTCCACGAAAGACCATTGAGCCTTATCAAGATATGGCTCATTGAGGATGATATTTCACACAAGCTCTTTGATTACCTAGGCGAGAAAGTAACGGGGCCAAGTCGTGAATGTTTGACGTTAGTCTCTCAGTCTTGCTTTTCATTGCCGACTTAAACACGTTCTCCTTTTGTTCTACATGCTGTGTCAGAATTCCCTTTTTTTCCCTCCACCACAGGCATGGGTAGAGAAGTCTCAAGGCAACCAACGTACCTAAAACAGGTGCCAGATTTATTTCGGCATCACTGTCGCAGATACCGGCCAGAACGGAGAAATAGGTCGTTAGCATTGATTAGACCTCCTTTCCCGGCTCCGCCGCCGTCTGTCGGCCAACACACACCGCCATCCCCGAGACAGCCATGACTCAAGAACTTGATCCAGCTTTTTGCCCGGTTCCCCGAGTGTCCGTCCGGCGTCCTACGGAAGTGCTCGGGATGGAGCTGCGTACTAGAGCCCTGGGACCAGTACCTTTCTTCCAGGTATGATGCGATCGATCAAATTCATGCCCGGGCTGATAAGCACGATAGAGAACATTTCGCCCGCCAGGTCGCCCTCGGACTTGACCGGCCCATCAGAAACGCGAGCAACTATTGCAACTCGGGTTGGTGGGCAAATATGGAACAGATACAAACCACTGCCAAGTCATTTTGGAACAACCCGGGAAACGGTTGATGCTCCTCGACGCAAATTGGGAGAGCAATACTCCTTAGTAATCGGCGAGAATCCTGACAAGGAAGAAGCTCTGGGTCTACGTGAGACTGAGAGGTAATCAAGGCACAATCACAGCATGCAGTGCACAGTCGGCAGTTCGTGCGTCTACTCGGTGATTAACTGCTGTATTAGGTGACAACCCGAAAGCTTAAACAGAAAAGACAATTTCTCGCTCCGAATTTAGTCTTTTGTCGATCCAGCCCGCAAGTCACCGTACATTGCGCAAAACGGCCTTGACTGCTCACTGCTGTTAAGCCCATGGAAATTGTTGTTTCTCCGACAGTATTCTATAGTGCCAGCTTGCCCCAACTTTGGAACTGCTAGTGCATTTCATATGATCCTTCCGAAGAAAGGGACGAATCGCATTCAAATTAACTTGTTCAACAACACCCTGGAGCTCCAGCAGATGGCAGCACAGACGGGAAAGTTTCTACCAGGGCTTACGCAGGCGGGTGGAACTTTCGTTAGCGTTTTATTGTGATAAAGCATGAAATTCGATTTGTTCCAGTGTAATCTAACAATTTTGGTTTTGGCTGTTTCACTATCCTTTTGGTGTCTTCCCGCCATCCTCCGCCCCGGCCTTTACCAACCTGTTAACGATGCGAGCGTGAACACTCCCCTCGTTACTATGGAGGGAGCTAGATACCCAACGGGTCTCAAAGTCTATGTCATCCGGATCCATATTATATCTGTTCACCTCGCGGGCAAGCATTAGGGCCGTTTGGCCAAAGTCGTCCTTTAAATCTAACGAAGCGCCATGGTCAATGAGAAGATTGACCACATCCTGATACCCCGCTTCAGAGGCATGCATAAGCGCGGTGCGTCCGTCTGTATCCTGAACGTCGGTATTGGCGTTGTTAGATAGCAAAAGCGATACAGCGTCCCTCATCTGCTGATCATCCGAGTACCCTGTGGTGAGTACTGCATGTATGAGCGGTGTCCGATTCTGATGATCTGGGGAGTTGATGTTTATATTGCCGGTCTCCAACAAAATTTTCATCTTAGCCACAGAATTGTTAGCAGCAACACGCAAAAATGGCGTTTGTCCCCATCTGTCAGCAACGTCAGGCTCAAGACTGAGTTCTGACAAAAGCCACTTCAGAACGTCGAGATTGTCTGGCAATTCCGACGTCCACCATACCGCAGACCTGTGGTTTTCGTCTTCAAATGACGGATCAGAATTTCCGATGTCATGAATGGACTTCAGCAAGTCTAGTTTGGGGTATTCGGCACTATTCGAGGCCGGAAGGTATTCCGTGGCAGTGAATAAGATTGGCGATAGACGACATGCTCTCAGGAAATCAGGCTTCAATCTCCTCGCTATGGTTAGAGACATGCGTGTGTATCCATTCTGTATGGAAAACTTGAATGCCATCCATAATTGGTGATCGGTAGCGTTGCAAAAGATCTCCTCACGGTCCAAGAACATCTGCGCGACTTCTTCGTGGCGTTCTTTCAGGGCGTGATGTAGAGCTGTCATTGAATTTGAGTCGTGTAGGGATAGCTGCACTTCACAATTGTTTATCAAGGTGTGTACCGTCGAGGACTGCCCATAGAATGCGGCCACCATCAGAGGCGTCTTATTATCTTGCAGTTCGTTGACAGTCGCTCTGATTTCAGGCCTGCTTGACAGTAAAAGCCGAACGATCTCATTTTGGCCCGTTCTAGCTGCCCACCACAACGGGGATCGGTGACATTCATCAGGTCCACACCGGATAGGGCACTGGCTGTTTAAAATACTTTTTGCCACTGTCTCCAAGCCGCACGATGCGGCAACGATAAGAGGGGTAGGTTTGGCAGGTAGCGGACGCCCGAAATACGTGAACAGCCAAAACGAAAACCAGGACCGTTCATGCTTTGACCCATACAGTCCTGATTCCTGGCCGGATGAGAAACTGTCGTCGCATATAACCTCGCAAAAGCTTTCTGCAAGAGCCGAGCAGTTGACTTTAAAGCTTGCATTGGAGTTTTGCAAGTGCCCGTGCCAGTATAATGCGGCGTACGGGTAGAAAGACAGTCCTGGCGCTTCCCTCGCCCTCTCCAGATTATCGGGACCATACCAGAGCCTGAGGTACTGAATGCATGATTCTGCCAGAATGGATTGCGAGTCCACAGAATTAAAGGTATTTTTCCAAAGGAAAGGTTCTTTTGAACCATCTTCCATTCGCCTTGGTTGCGTGATCTGTTGCCCAGCGTCGTTCGGAACCAGGAACTCTTTCGCAGTTTGGTGAATAAAGTATATCTTATCGTCGATGACAGTGACAAATAATCCACACGTGGCTCTCAGCGTGTCCTTGAATCGGTCCAGCGGTTCCAGTTGAATATCTCCCAATTTCTGATGTTTTTCGGATACAGCCAAAGCCATGGCCATTTGTTTTAGTGTCATCGGCTCAGAGGCTGCGATGACAATATGTAGAAGCTTGCGTGCCATAACAACGTCGTAACTTCGGTTGAGGATTCTTTCGTACAGTCGATCGAGACCCTCAGGTATGCTGCCAAGAATCTCTTCTACATTGTCTTTGGTAAATGAAAGAATGTTTTCGACCACGTCCAAAGCTAGCTTCACCCAAAGGTATGTCCTATTCTCTGTTCTCATCACCTCGGTCTCGAGAAACTTTGTCTCATCTTCTCCGAGACCTAGGGATACAGAGATTTGACGGACTCGGCTCCTGGTGAAGATGTCTATCTCTCTAGCAATTTTCGTTGCCTGTGAATCGTCTTCTCCGCGCAAGTGAATAGTTGGCCAGCTGGTCTCTAGCTGTCTGAATCCACGCTCAATCTGGATATAGGGCCGTGATGTGACGATGAATTTCAGCGCGAATTGATCGGGTGGATTCATGTAAAATTTGCTCAAGGCTGCGACTAGTTCTCGACGATCAGCTTCTTGGCATTCGTCCAATGCATCCAAAACACAGAGCAGTTGAAATTTCCTTCCAGATGCAACTCGAAGAAATAGCTCAAATAAACTTGAGAAGGACTCTGTCAACCGCGCCCCTTCATTCTCGAATTCGCTTATTATTTGCTCATTCAAAAGACCTGGCTGAAGCGTGAAAAGCTGTCGCAGAATGGAGCAGATAGCTCCAGCAGCCGTCCTTTGGTCAGGAAAATCTTCTTTGAAGAAGAAGTAGCAAACCACGCGCTTCGGATCGTTGCGGAGGACATGATCTACTAGGAATCTAGAAAGAACGGATTTCCCACATCCCGGGTCGGCAGATACCCAGAGAAGACTTGAACGTGCTGAATCTGCCCAATCACGAAAGAGATTGTGCTTGACAAACCACTCGCAGGTTCCTTCTACTCTCTCTGGATTAATATCTTTGCGAGAACGGTATGGACAAATATCCAGAAGCTTCAAGCATTGGATTTGTCGCTGACGTATCATGTCATTCGCGGTGAACTGAAGCTGACCCTTCGTTACGTCAAGTATGCCTCTCAAATCGTGATAGTCGAGAAACCTGTGAAGCCTGTCGTCTGTGACCAAGTCTGCAAAAGCACGGCACTCGCCATCGGCCGCTTTGACGTCGTTCATGAGGACTTTCCAAGTTTCCCCTCGGAAGGTATCTCGAAGAAATTGGCTAGCTCTTGCACGTTGACTATAACACAGCATTCGGGCTTGAAATTCCAAGATCATGGCGTAAAGTCTGACGAGGTTGTTTTCAAACTCATGCTTGAGTTCTTCGGCAGCCTTGTCTTCCACGGAGCCTACTCGAACTCTCGAGAGGTATACAGCTTCCATTACCATGTATCTGCAAATGATCGATGCTATATCTTGGAGACCTTTGAAAAGCACTTCCCTCTGGTCCGCCTGTCGAATCAAAAGCTGGATGTCCGTTAGTCAGCAATTCCTGCTGGGGCGCTCCAGAATCGGAGTTGATTATGTGCTCACATTGAGAATCACCACCACGCCTGCACAAGCAGCGGACGCATGGGGATCGGTGCTGGAGGCAGCCGTTATCAAGTCTTTGGCGGCGGCGATGTGTTTGATCACGTTGATGAGGTATGGATCGATGTTGAACTGAAATTTTCCCGTTCCGATGATGAGTTGGCGGCCTCTTAGCTCCTCAGCCTTGGCTTCGAGAAACTTAGCTGCTTGTGCGGGCTGGAGGCCACTAAGGGGCTGGCCGTTTCCATTTAAGGAAGCAATGCCAAATTCATATTCTAGAGTCTTCAAGTACTGGTCGATCAAGGTGCGCTTTTCGCGGTCCTGGTCGTCTCTCAGCATGTTGGCAGCTCTAGTCCAGAGGTTTGGCAAGGTCTCCTCCGGAGTCTGCTCGGACGTTTCCCACAGGTCAATGCAGCCCAACTCGTCCATATCGGTATCTCCGTCATAAAAGCCCGTAGGTGTCGTTGAGCGGCGAGAGCCAAGGCTTGAAGGTATGGGTGAAGCGGTTCGTATGGTGGACGAAGGGACATTGAGACGACTCGGCGCTGGGGAGGCTGTGAGAGACGGCTGATCCTTCGCTTCCTCTTTGTCCCTCCCTTTCAATCTGTTCCATAACCGTCGTGTTTTAGAGGCTGACATCGTATGTTAAGGCTGCGGGGTTTGAGACTTCGGTTGATATTTTGAAGTGACCTTGGTAAGAATGCGACAGAAATGAGGGGAAACGAGTGATAGGTATCTTTCTCCGCGGCTGAATGTGCCTCATGACCGCATACGTTGATAGGCTACACTAAAGTGAGACAAGTCAGGATTATTATTGGTTGCCTCTTTTGGTGCCAGCCTGCTTGATTCCTGCAGGTGCCTTAGTGGACTTATGCTTGGCGTCAAGGACGGTAATACGCTCAAAAGCAGCTATTGGGTTAATTGTGGATCTTGCATGTCGTTTCTACAGTAATTAGCCCCAATATCATCGATAAACCCGGTTATTGCGCTGCATAGCCTTTGCAACATGCGGTGCAGTTTCCCGTTCGCATTACATTCAACACTGACTCTGTGTTATTTCTAACCGATAACAACCGAACGTTGGCGGATTAAACTTGAACAAGTGATATTTGTAACCGCCATTGGTACCTCTTTCATATCATTCTATGTATTTTACTTGGACCTGTCGCTGATTGCTGACTTTGAGCTACCCCTTTCACGTGTTGGAAGCCAATTACGACAATCTTCCACGCTGAATTGGCCAATGTAGATGGACAGTCGCTGGAATTCGGGATGAGTTTTGCTACCCGGGCGGATCGTAAGCATGGATGACGATAGAGACGAGAACGACGATGGTAGCGACAATAATAGGGACAAGGACGATAGGGGTGATGGTGACGATAGATGAAGTAGAACTATCAATATAAAATAAACTCTTAGACCTAACATGATAGTTATCCGCCCGGTTAGTCAGAAGTATCCAACCGGATAGCAAAACTCCTCTAAACAAACTTACGCACGACTTCCACCGATAGAACAAAAGCGTCCCTGCCCCCTCTTAATTTCAAGTTTGTCGCAAGGACGCCTAGATACAAGGTCTCCTCATGCTCACGTGCCCGGGTTGCGAACATGTCCATGCTGTCCTCTTGTCAACGGAGGTTGGCATGATCTTCACGGACACATTTCGGACTTGTAAGATTCCTAAATCTAGACCTCGAGAGTCATATAGTCAGGGGGTATGGCCGTCAAATATCCGTGGGTCGTGCTATAAGACGTTTCCGAGGTCGTCATTATCATATCTATAACTAGACCCTCAGTGCTATTTAACTCGATTACGGGTAATGTCACGGATTGGCGGCGGGCGCACTCCAATTATGTTCAGCGTCGTCAATGTTGTCTTTAACATCATTGTGGTGTCCGTAACACATGAAAGAAATGGAGTTTGTAAGGTCCAATAGCAATTCGCGTCTGGCTGCCCAATCATCGGTCCAAAACACTCAGTACAAAGCCAAGCCAAGCTTAAACAAACATAGAAAGTTCCGATCCAACCCAGTACGCCTCGCCATTCCACTGGGTATCATGTCAACCAACGTCCTGTCCAGAATGCCATCCATGTAATGCCAGTACACCGTCCAAAAGCCGAGTATTAACTCTCCAATCGCACAAAACAGCCTTCTCAAATCATAGCAGTAGCTCTGCCGGACATGATCTCAACGGAGTCGTATGAGGTGATGGGGCCAGAGCGACGACGATGCTCGCGCTCCTAGCGCTCGGATCGGGGAGTGTTGGTGGGGACTGCAGGGGCCCTGTCAATGACGGCAGTGATGGAGCTGACCTGCGACTGCGAAGTGGGGAGGAGAGAGACGTCAGTCCAGTAATTCTCGATTTGCTCGTTGGTGTCGTTGCGGGGAATAGTAGCCATGATGTTCGCCTCAGTGACGACGTAGTTATCGGGATGATCGACGGCCTGTCCGACAGCCTCCTCCTCAGGGATCTCGGTGATTTGAACTGCGCGAGGAGCAGAGTCAACCTTATCCGACTGCTGCATGCTCTGAATCCGCTGTTCGCGTTGGGAGGCAGCGCCGAGGGTGCGTCGATGCTCAATCTCGCGGGGGCTAGCCGGGATGTGAGTCTCGTTACAGGCTCTGGGCATGATGGAGCGGCCTCTGCTCTCTTCGTCGACGTGAACGGACCTGCGAAAGCGGAACATGAGGATCCAGATGACGGAGGTGAATGCGAAGAGGCAAAGGCTGATAATCTCCCAGATTGCAAGCCAGAAAGGGGTTCTCTTGGTGAAGTAGTGAATAGTAGCGAAGATGGTCGTGGAAACGGTAAAGTTGATGAGGAAGAACAAAGCGAAGAGGGTGCATCCATAGAACATGTCCTTCTGAGTGCTGATGCGTTGGTACCACCAAGTCTTGGGCTTGATAGCACTGTTTCGCTTGCCATGGCCGTTGCGAAGGCCGAACTTGAGGAGTCGGCGGCTCCAGTCGAAGAAGTTGCCGCTGCGATTCTTGCGAGGTTGAGGAGCATCGGGTGCGGGCCCAGCGGGGCGGAAAGGGGTCTCGACCAGCCGGGGGAAGTGGCGGATCTGGTGAGGGGCGTGAGGCAAGTGAAGGCTGAGGTTCGCGGGATGAAGAGCGAGCATGCGAGCGTGGGGATGATTGATCTGAAACTCATCAAGCGACTCAGTCATGCTGACTTCAGGAGGATGGCTGTGTCTGACATCCAGCCACTGCGTGGTCGACGCCGTCACGCTGCGGGTCATGGGGACCATAACGGAGGGGCGTGGGGTCGCATTCTGGAAAGGCCAGCGAGGAGTTCCCAGGGCCGCGTGTGAAGATCTGGGGACCGAGAGAGGCTGTCTTGGGAAGATCATCGACTCTCCGCGGACGTTGGTGGGAGTATCGTCATTGATCTGCAGATCCGAGGACTCGCTCGAAACGGGCGAGGGAGGAGTAGGGGTCGCGGGACGAGGATCAAGCTTGCCCTCCTTGTCGGACTCCTCAGAGACGCTGTCGCAATTGGGCTCAACGATTTTCGGGGTCGCAGGAAGCTTGAAAGACGTGAACTCCTCAACCGAGGGGTAAGCCACGCCCTGGCTAGCAACAGCGGTTGTGGCCGTGCTGAAGGAGGCTTGGCCTGGAAGGGGAGACATGATTAAGATGATGTTATCGTGATACCAAAAGAATGTAAGGATTGACGTGCGCGCCTTGTGAATGCGGACACGCAAAAGCGAAAGACTGAAGATACTGGCGATCACCAAAAGAGTGTATTGTGAGAGAGTGTGGGTGGTGAGAGGGAAGAAGAAAGAGCGTGTGGAAGGCAAAGTCAAAAAAGAAGGTGGGTGGTGAAAACTCTTTTGCCCTGCGTGGGTAAACAAAAGAAGTTGAGGAAGGAGTGTGTAATCTGGAGTTGTTCAGAGGAAGGAGCGACTTGACGTGAGGCTGATGGCGACGCGACGTTGGTACAAAGGAGACGACAGAGGAAGGAGCGAGGCCCAGGTGCAGAGGCAGGTGCAGCCCAGCAGAATTATTCCATGACGCAGCTTGTATTTTTTAAATCGCCATCATGTAGAAAATGAATGGACTGGTGTATAATTCAACCAACAGAAGATTTCAGCAGTTGCTCTTGAAGCCACCGTCTTGACACAAGCCAGAGACTCGGCCCTCAACCACAGAAGCGGGTGAAGTGAGGTTATCGCGAGGAAAGAAAGGAACAGGCCGCCAGCCCGGACGTCCCCCGATTAATATTGCAGTCCATTGACTCAATTCCAAACCAACCCTGGAATGTTTCGTTGCCCACAGCAATTATCCTACGTTCCATGTCTCTGCATCAGGTAAAAACGGTGCAAGTTTTGTTGTCGTGTCTCAGATATTTTTCTCCAAATTGGGTCAAGCCTTGATGGTCAACTTCGGCTACATGGTTTCCAGAGGTGCACCCCACGTGGTGGGGGCCGGTGATCGACACAGATCATTGGATAATGGGTCGACCCCGGATTTTTGAACAGACGCATGCGGCCTTGAGTTGGGTCTTTGTTTACGAGATTGCGGCGGAGGAACGTTTGGTGGTCTGAGGCATGTTATCGGTTGAGTCGGGATCTTGTCAACAGAGCGGGCCGAGATCAAGAGGAATTGCCGAGCCCAGGCGGCGCAGGTCGGTGGGAAACGAGTCTGTTTCGGCAAGAAGTGCCGCCCAGATTAAGACTGAGGCGTTGAACAAGGCTTTAAAATCGAGGCCATCAAATATTCACATGTTTAATGTCCCATGCGTAAGGTGTTTCTTCGCACCGGTGATGATGTTTTCCAACTCAGAGAGCATTACCTAGAGAAATGTGGAGCTTGAAAGTCACCGACTTGCCGGGCTGCCAATTGAGAAAGTCTTCGTCGCCAATTTTGCACTCTCCAGTCATGAAAAAATTCGAGCAGGAGAAGTGGCATCAAGACCGCTGGATGAAGAAGATCGTGGATGCGTGATGCAGAGGCCGAACGGAGATGCCCCGCACTCTGCCGGCGGAACCCCACCTCAACGGAAACACTGGTGCAGATCCCGTCACCGGGTGCCCAAAACGCGGCCCGACGTGCTTCTCCCGGCGTTTGCGCGAGGATTTATGTCAAAAGATTCACGCTTCGTTGAAAGGAGATCAAATCTTGGATCTCGATTCTTGTCATTGCAATGAGGCTCAGCATCTTAGGGAGGTTTCCTGCCAGCCAAATAATGAGTCAATGACATCATCCAACACCAACGCCGTGATGTCACTCAACAATCTGACGCCGCGTTCATCGAGGAATGCTTGTGAAAGTGCACCTGGATTTAAATACTCCGCAATGGTCATGCAAAGCCATAGTCTTGTTGGTTTTTACAAACTTTTCGCAATCGACATTTCGCACCACGTCGCACCATGCATGGACCGAAATCTGCAACGATCATTCACGAGAAGGAAGGTGCGGACGGCTACGGCCCCGCCTTCGCGACTGCCGTTCCCAATTGCCCAGCCACATACCGCCGACCCCCGGCGGTGAACGCGGGCAGAACAATCGAGGCGGCTGGTGTGGCGCATGCCAACTTCGCGCCGTCGGCTGGAAAGCCGCGAGGAAGCGAGGACTACTCTGATAACTTCAGCGACTATGTAAGACTTGAATATCGCGACTGGCCCTCTCGAGCTAATCACTATCTTAGACCGTATTGCAACAACATGTGCTCTTCTGGGACCGCGACAACGACGGCATCATCACCCCCATTGACGTCTGGGTCGGCTTCAGGGACCTGGGCTTCAACATACCGACGTGTCTCCTGGCGTGTACCGTGATCCCGTTCGCGTTCTCGTACGGCACCGTCATGCAGCATTCGTACCTGCCCGACCCTTTCTTCCGGTTATACGTTGACGGCATGCACAAGGCGAAGGTAGGCCTTCCTCTCTGCCGCAAAGAGCGTATAACTGACTTGAACACAGCATGGCTCCGACTCGGGCGTCTACGATAGCGAAGGTCGCTTCGTCCCCCAAAGATTCGAAGACATTTTCGCAAACTGCAGTGCGAGGAAAGACAACACATTGACCTTCAGAGAGGTCTTTGACCTGATGAGCAGGAATCGCTGTGCCGTTGATCCGTTTGGAGTAGGTCACCATCGCGACATGCCCATCAATCAAAGCTTCGCGACTGACTCTGTGATTAGTGGCTCGCTTCCTTCTTCGAATGGGTTACGACATGGATGCTGCTGGCCGACGATGGAAAAGTTCACAAGGAAGATCTCAGGAGAGTTTACGATGTAAGTCCCGGACTGAGGTATGTGATGGCCAGTCGCTGATAGTTTTGCTCTCCAGGGTTCGTTGTTCTGGGACATTCGAGAGAAAAGGCGCTCTGGCGAAGGGTGGAAACAGGGATGGGGACTTGGTGGTGATGGCTTCATCGGCTATCGGAAGAGGATCGGCATTCATCTGTGAAGTTTGGCAGGCTGCCAGAGCCTCCTTGATAGACAGAGATCTGATGGACCACCATGCGGCCTCATCTGGAGGTTATCGTTTGATTTCCATGCCATTCAATTGTGATCCCGTGCCAACTATCGACGCCCAACCTGATGCTTCTACTCTTACATCCCCAGTACCCAGACTCCCAAACTCCAAATTCACCCATCCGTCACCTCACTTCTTCTCCGCCCACTCCCCCTTCTTGTAAACGCCGCCAGTCTTCAAACACTTCGCACCCGATCCCTCCGCCGCAGCCCGAGCCCGCTGCGCCTGCTGCTCATTATTACTCGGCCGTCCACTCACCAGATTCATCTCCATGTCCGCCCGCTCCAGCTGCCTCAAAACCTGTGCGCGGATATTGATGTGGAAGAGCACCTTCTTCTTGTGCTGCACAGCCCACACAAACATCACAATCGCGCCCACGAAGCCCACCGCGCTGCAGGCCATCCACGCCCACCAGCCCGCGCCCATCTCAGGCTCCCCGCCCCGGCCGCCATCCGTGACGACGACGATGATGGACGCGAGGAAGCTGACCATCAGGGCGATGCCGACGAGCAGGATCGTGCGGTAGGTGGACTTGTTCGCCACGAGCCGCCCGTCGCCCGTCTCGTCACCGAAGGCTCTAACCCGGTGCAGGCCGAGGACGCGGTCGAGCTTGTCCCAGGCGGAGGTCTTCTTCTTCTCCTTCACAGGCGCGGTATTGTTGGCGTCATTGGTCTTCGGGGCTGGCCTGGTCCGGGTGTCGACGACTTGCAGGTGATGCGGGGACTGGATGTTGACGGTCTTGGCGGGGGGGACGTTGGTGCTGGGGCCCGCCTCCGGGTCCGTGTTCTTAACGCGGATGGAGGGGATGTTGGGGTCTGTCGAGACGATGTTGTCGGTTGCAACGGCTGGTTCCGGGAGGGGCCAGTCTTCGGCGGTGAGCTGGAAGGGAGAGTTGTTCGCGTAGGAAGTGCGGTTGCGGCGTGGGATGTTGAGGGGCTCGCAGGGCGGGAAGGGGTTGGGCTTGGGGCGGCCGTTCTCGAGCTTCATCATTCGCTCTGCGAGTCTGTTCATGCCGGCGTTGACTTTGGTGGGAGTGGGAGGGACCTCAGAGCCGGTGGCCTTGTTCGGGGCGATGGTCTTTGGAGCGGTGGGCGCGTCGTCGGTCTTGACTCCCAAGGCCTTGGCAGTCTCGACTGGGGCATCTTGAGGGTTGGCGGCCATGTCGACGGCGGCCTGTGGTTTCCTGGGGGTTGTCAGTTGCGTCGCTCGAAAATTCAGAGAAGATTGAATTCGCTGGGAGAAGGGGGCACTGATGGTACTGATGGAGCAACTTACGGGGACTCTTGGCTGTCGGCCATTTTGTAGGCTTGGTCACCTTTGATCGGCCTGCTGCGAACAATGCTTTGTGAGCTTCCCTGGGAGACAGTCCGCGACGGGGTCAAAGGGGCGTCACACCAGCGTATGTGTTGAGACAATGCGAGGGAGTGGGAACAATGCCTCGATGGAAGGTTATCGAAGTTCCTTCAAAGCTGTGATGCTCCTTGATCCGTGACAACGAGAGTCAAAAGAAGGTCTTTGTGAGATTTCGAGGTTTGAAGTTGGAAAGAGGGAAGAGAGGAGAATATTCGAAATTATTTTTGAGGGACAGGACGAGAGGTGTCACATGACGCCCCAGCCGCCATGGGAAGACCACGCTCTCAAGTGGTGGTGCGGCTGTGTCATTGTTGTTGTTGATATTGGAACGCGACTTGATCCTATCGTGGTGGTGTTGTAGCTGAGGGCGCGAGCTGTGAGTGAACTTAGGAAGTTGAGCTAAGGTGGGGTCACCAGCAGGCGTGGTTTAAGGAAATGGGAACCAGTCAGGCAAGATGGCTTTGTTGGTTGGAGAGAGTCCAGAAATAATAGTGCCATAGGTAAAGGAGATGACAGAATAGCTGAATGAAAGAGGGTTCAATGTCTGTTACACCGCATTGTCAAGTTATGCTCCTGGTAGAGAGAGAACCATGTGGCGGCACCGATATCTCATTCCAGAACTTGACAGCAACTTCTCTTTCATTACACTCCTTGAAGGCAATGGGAGCAATGGCGAAACGGACGAAACTCTCGCTTGTTATCTCGGAAGTCCAATAGTGCCAGCAGTAAATAGCTGCTTCTTTTCCAGGGCTTCGCCGGCCGAGAACACCATTCGCGAGTTTGCCACCTCTGCATTCTGATTCTTCAGTCTATCGCCGAGGATGCCGTGATGAAGTCTATCTTTCAAGGTCTCAAAGAGAATATTTTCTCAAGTGTAGCCCTCCCTCAGCCGTTTCAATAATGAGACACAGGTCAACCTTCGGTATGCAAGATGATCAGATCTTCAGCCATCCTGAATATCCTATTCGACCCAGACCGAGGTACCCCACATATCCCAACCACGATAAGATTTGTTGGCACGTCACTTTATGTACCAAGTCAACGTCCGTGACAGGATCCTCGATCATCCGTGGATATCCGCCTCCACTCGACCCTCTCACGCCCCTCAACAGACCCCACGTCTCGCTGCGGGAACCCGCTCAAGCGGAGAACAGCCCACTCAAGTGCACAACTTTCACGATCATCAACACGGGCAAGATGGCCGAGCGGTCTAAGGCGCTAGCTTCAGGTGCTAGTCTAGAAATAGGCAAGGGTTCGAATCCCTTTCTTGTCAATACATGAGGCGTGATGCCTTCACTTTTTGTTGTTCGTTGCACTTTTAGACTTTTAGGATCACCAGCGATGTTTCCTCTCCTTTGGATGCAATAGTATTGCAGGGCTTGTTCTCGTCAGTCTTTGGGAGCTGTACTGTCGTCTTTGAAAGCAAGCCTTGGTTTCTGAACCTCCAGACGGACGCAATTCTGGGATAGAATGTTGTCCCTTGGTTCAAATCAAGCGTAGATTGCATGTGGAACAGTATCATAACAGCAGATGATGTTAATATGGAATATTTCCGTTACCTTCCAATCATCATTTGCGCAACCTCAAACTCGATTCAAACTCCATTCATTTCCGCTGTTGTAGTGAAACCTCCTCCGAAAGTTCCTTCTCGTCCCCGATGCCCCTAAATGCTCTGCATTAACTGTCTCCGACGTCGCCGTCACGCTACATGCCTACTTGGGTTCTGTCTTGATCCTCTTTGCCTCTCTCGATGTGTCGTCTGCCACCCGCTTTCTCTCGGCAGCACGCGGTTCCCTTTTTCCGAATGCGAATCTTGTGGGCGCTATGGCGTTCAGCACCTGAGCGAATGTTTTCTTGTAGTCCACCTTCGCTAACTCCGCAACCACGGCCGGATAGGAATCCTTGATGGCGTCGCAGAGTCAAATCGTAAGAACGGGATTATCCTCCGTGCGGGAAGGGTCGACACATAGTCTGCTCAACCACATGCGAGCGGCATAATGGCTTACGTACTTGTACTTTGCCGGATCGGTGTTTGCGATGCATCTGACCTGGGCGGCTATCATGGCCCGGGTTGGTTTGAACCATTTGCAGATGACATTGTACAAGGGCCTGGGGCAGCCGCCCTGAACCCAGTTGTCGTATTCAACGTGATGCGGATAATCTGCGTGATAAAAGTCTGTCGGAGGGGTGAGCTCGTCATGAGCGCCCAGGCCGACTAGAGTGATGTAGGGAATGGAATAGAGGATTGTCATGTATGCCTTTGCCTGAGCCCGATGATTTTCCCACGAGAGGTCAAACCATGGATTTTCGGACGGTCCGCCGTCTTGACAGGTTACGAATTCCCATTGATAGGGAGTGAGACTTTTCTGGGTAGCTTTCTGCCATGCTGGGAAACCGCTTCGGTCTTGCAGGGTTGGGATTTCTTTGGACATGGCGACAGTGCTGGAATCTTGAATAAGAAAAGGAAAGAAAAAAGGAAAGAAAAGACGTAATTTGAAATTTCGTCTGGATGAAAAGAAGTTTTAGAATAGGAAGTGCTTCGGACTGCTCACGTTTATCTCGAGAGGGCCCACGAGGACCTAAGGGGTTAGAAGAGGCCGGAAACGTTAAGTGGCGGCGAGCGTAGCGAATAGCATCTCTGGCTCTAAAGCTCTACGTCGCTAGTCATACAACGAAGCAGACGTTGATAGGAGGTAGGAAAGGGGCGCGCTAAACGCCTATGTCTCGGTTACTAAGGAGATGGCGGGTTGGCTGGCTGAGGAACGAGTGGCATGTGAGGAAGAATTCTGCGTGGGTCCCCCAGCGCAGCCTCGATCCCTCTAGGTGACATATCACATTTGAAAACAGCGCAACATCCAAGAAGAAACGACTGTAATATTCCGACTGCTTTTGAGTATGCGCGCAACAAGACAGACAACAAGTCCGGTCGCCGTCCTCAACCTTAGTCACTGGCCTCTTCCTTCCTTGTCTTACTTCCTCATCGTCCCTCCTCGTCTTCCTTCCTGAACCCCCTCGTCCTTAGTGTCTGCCCCCATACCCCTGATTTATGATGTATAATCGTCGGAGGATATCGACAACGACAGGACCCATCATGGACGTCTCTGACGCCCTGGTAGCTAGTTTTCGAGTATTGCGATGAGGCCATCCCACGATATAGCCCTGCTGTCGCCCAGCTCGTTCGGAACCAGCGCAGGGTCGTACACCTCCATACCTCTGTATAGAAGCAGGGCCAGAATCTCATTTGGCGTCGTTGAATCCTCAACAGCGGCGATCTTGACCAGCTTCGCGAACGAGGCGAAGTCTTTTCTGGATTGGTAGATGCGAAAGGGTGACGAAACCAGGCTCAAGACGTGGATGGCTCTCTGCGAAATCGATGGGGCGAGGAATCTCTTGATGAGTTCGAGTAGTTTATTCGGATCGTTTCTGGCGGGGAAAGTAGAGCCACAATGCCTGAGGCCGTCGATGATCTCGGTGGACAGGGAGTTGTACATCAAGTCGTACAAGGCCTCTGGCGGACCGAGAGTCATCAAATACATCAACTCGTTGTCGGAATTCGTAAATCGCACTGGATTGCCCTGAATATTGGTGCGGTATACTTGACAATACGCAAGAAGCGACGATGACCAGGGACTCCAGTCACGACGATCGCGAAGGGCAGGTAAGGGCGGGGTTTCTCCAGCCATATTGATGGTACTGCAAGCGTTGTTTCTGTAGCTGAGACTGTGAAGCAAAACCAAAAGCGGAAGCAAATGTTGTGTTGATGTTGGAGATGTGTGGAAGAGAGGAGATTGACGATGCGTGTCGTTGTAAGACGGCGAGAGTGGAAATGGTCGATACGGTACCGACCTAGTGAAGGCCGCCTAGAGGAATGTTCTTTCCTCCACGAGCCTCGAGTTGGTGACCAACTGCCAGTGAAGGTGCAATAACTGTGACGGCAGCAGCTCACATGGGAGATGGAAGTTGACGAGCGCTGCTCCAAAACTGGCTACAATGTATCACGCCTTCCCCCGTTTGAAGGCCAACACAGCGTCCTAGTTTCCCAATCGGACGCGGTTGACGTGGCTCTTAGTCTCGTCTTGGCCGTCGCTCCTGTCGTCCTCATCCACGTCGTCCGTATCGTCGCCGTCGTCTCCGTCGTCCTTGTCGTCCATGTCCTTCCTCATCCTCGTCACTGCCGCCTCATCTACTTGGATCGGAAAGTGCTCGAAAACACCAATCGAAGGATGGAAGTTGCGAACAACCAAGCCCAATGCAAGCACGCTTTGGCGATAAATCCCTTCGACAACTTCACGGCAGTCGCCACATCTACGACGGTGATTCCTTACCTTTGCAATTGCTTCTCAGCAAACAACCAGCCAAACATCCCAGCAGCACAAGCGCAATGGAAGCGATTCAGGGTCCAGCGGTACTTCAGGTACTGCCGCACGCCACACAGCACGGGCCATCGCTGAGATGCCCAATTAACCCCCCACAATCAACGACAATACTGCCGAGACAGGCAGGTGGAGACGCCCTCAGCCCTTTCAGTGCGTACCGCAGAGGTTCTCCCACCGGCTCGGCGGCCACATCTTTGGACAGGCCACTGAACGCCCTGATTCAGGGGCAACCGCGTGCTCGGGAGGGGTCATGCCTGCGCAGAACACTGATTCGACATCATCCGCTTTCTGGATCACCTCATCGGTCAGATTGCATGGGAGATGCCTTCAACATCTGCCGGTGGTGTTTCCCATGCCAAGCAGAGTCAAATAAGGCAAATATGTAAAACAGTTTACCGGGCGGTGCATCCTTTAAACGAGCCATAATGGTAATCCTCGAAATAACATCGACGCGAGATTTACGAGATGGTCGGCTTGTGGGGAAATCTCCTGTCCCAGCTCTCATCATGTGACACGACAACCCAGGGCGCCCCTGTTTCAAACGTTTATCTCAACTTATATTATTCCCCGACTTTCAGCATGGGTTCTATAAATATTGAAGTTCATGCAAACCGCCGATCTTGATAAGAAACCAAGGATATCCAGGTGTCTAGGCGCGTAGACTGCCAAACTCGGCCAATGGGCTGTCAAACTACAGCACTTGGTACGACAAGGTTCGCAAGGGAGGCGACGAACGCAATTAATTGCTATTGAACTTGAAATCACGTCAGCTTCGCTTGCGCTTGATGGTATTACGCGCGCCTTTAACGCCGGAAAACATGACTTGGTTTGACCAGCAAGGTGGGAAAACGCCGACCAGCCAAGCGAATTGTTGAACCACGCAAGTCATTCGACCTGAATGATTCCAGACGGCAATCCTAACGAGGGGCTTTGCGGCCGCTGCGAGCCCGAGGCTGGTCCATGATAACAAGCACCGATACCAGGAGACGAGTGAAAGTAGAATCTCGATGCGTTGCCCAGTCGTGCAGGCTCTGGCCATGCGATAAGCCTTCAATCTGGCAATCTGCGTCTTCAGCCATGGAAATTTACATTATCATGCTATTGTTACAAGATGATGGAGTTTTGCGTGAGCCTCTTGACATCGTTCAGCTGTTACACTTGTGACCTGTCTGACCCGAATTTTTACGGGTACCCTACCGAACCGAGATTCCTCGGTTACCGACTTAGCCAACTCCACCTTCGACCTTTGCATGAATCACATCCGATATGGTGTAGTGGCCAACATGATGCCCTCTCATCCTGTGAGAGGTTAGGCATAGCCCCGAGTTCGATTCTCGGTTTCGGAACATCTTCTTTTGCTTTTTTTTCTTTTTTGGCCTCGTCATCGTCTAACAACGATGACATGCAGGACCAATTTTGCAATCACTTGAACGGCAATGTATGGAACATTTCCCAAATATGAACAGTGTAGATAAAATATGTACCAAGAAAACAAAAAATCCCCTCTAACTTCCTTCACAACTTCACATTCGGAACTTCAAAAGTCTGCACCATCTTCGACTCAAAGTAACTCCAGAACTTCGTCCCGCTCATCACCGTATCATCCGCCTTCACATACCGGTCACCACTGCCCACCTGCGTCCTCCACCGCGTTACCTTCGCACCGTCCGTCGAGCCCTGCGTGAACTTGCTCAAATCAAAGTTGAGATACTGCGCACTGCCCCAGTTGATCGCCACAATCACCAGCTTCGAGTTCGCGGCATCGTACGCCGCAACCACATTATCACTCCCTCCATCCAAAATCTTCATCCCCTCGCGGATGTGCCGCGTAAACTGCGCAAACACAAAATACTTCTGGTTCGCCGCACCCAGCGTGCCCGCCTCGTTGTCGGCATCAATCACACCCCACCCGCCGCCGTCGAGGACCTGCCAGTACACCCATCCCGTCGGCCGCAGCCACCGGAAGTCCAGCAGCATGTTGCTCACCAGCCGCTCGCCCGTCGCGTCATTCTCGCCGTACTCGCTGTTCCACAGCCGCTGGCCCTTGCTCGCCGCCTGCGCGTACAGCTTGTCGCGCGCGCCGTTGCCGTACTGGTACCCGTGCACGTTGATCCGCGCCACCTTGTCCAACGCCGAGCCGAGCCCATTCCACGTGCTCACGGCCTGGTCGTAGTACGACTCATCCGACGCGGCAATCGTCATGCTGCCGAGCCCGCGGTTGTCGAGCTCCGTGCGGAGGTAGTTGATGATGGTCGCCTGCGTGGCGACGTCGATGTGGCAGCCCTCCTGCGTGCCGTCCGCCTTCCACCAGTTCGCCGTCGGCTCGTTGAACGGCTCGACGCTCTCGAACGTGATGCCCCAGTTGTCCTTGGCGTACTTGGCCACGACGGCCATGTAGACGGCGTGCTGCTGCAGGTTCCAGCTCTGTATGTTCTCGCTGCCGTCCGACGACCCGGAGGGGTTGTGGTTCTTGGTCATCCACCACATGGGCGAGTTGCTGAAGAGCTCGAAGCGGTTCGCCCCGCGGCTCTTGGCCTTCTGCATCATCCCGCGCTGGTTCGCGTCCACGCCCCAGCTCCAGCTCGTCGACGCCGGATCCGCGCTGTTCCAGTCGAGCCAGTGGCCCTCGATCTGCCGCGAGAGCATCATCTTCGAGGAGATCACCATACTCTCGCCGTTGATGCTGTTCCAGCTGCACGCGCCCGCGTTGTGGCGCACAATGTTGAAGCCGAGGCCGGGCAGGCTGGCGCCGGACCAGGTGGTCGACTTGGTCGTGAAGAAGATGTCGGCGAGGTCGTCGCGGTTGCCGAACTTGCGCGCCCACCAGGCGAGCGAGGTGCCCCAGCCCTCCCAGGTGCCGCGGTCGGATTTGGCATCGATGGTGGTGGTTGTGTCCGCGGCGACGTGGCCCGCGAGGAGGGCCACGGCCAGGTTGAGTGAGAAGTGCATGGTGATGCTTGTGTGAGGAGAAGATCGAGCCCGAGGAGACTGATGATCCTATCCTCCTGATAGGGGAAATATTGATATTAGAGTGGACTGGACAACGACCTTTATGTCCGTCGTCTGATACGGTCCTGATGACAAGACGGAGCCCGCAGGGGCGCTGACTCGGGAGGCGGGACCGCGATGTCTTGGAGTGGCACTGCAAACGGGGATGAGCGGACCGGTGGGAGAGTTGCGTCCCTTTTTTGGGTCAAAATGCCATGCCGTCATGTTGGAGATTAACATACCATAAGAGGGTGGCAGAGGGGGTAGAATACGCGCCGTCTGGTCGTCGAAACGGCGGTTGGTGCCGCTTCGAGCTCGGTCGTTTGGGTCCGACACGGACGTGGCGTCCATTCCCGCTGGTTGGGGTGTTGCTAGCTGGTGGTGTTGATCACATCAAGCGCACTGGCCCCGCAATCTGCAGATGCAGTCGTACTTCGGTTCGTTCCATCTTTAGAGTTAAATTGCCGGCGATGACACGAGGTCACTTGGCGCCGCCCGTGCTTGGGCTAATCAGGCAGTTGTGAACTTGGGACCTGTGCTGGTGGACCCGGGCCGAGAGGTGCGCGACTCAGCCCTCAGGAGTCCGGACGAATATTGCGGATCTTATCTCGGGATGTGGTGCCACGTGCTATTTCGGAGACCAATATGGTATTGCAAGACGGCTATTCGGCTTGAATGTACAACACAGGAGGAGATACAAGAAGAAGAAAAATTGGGCAGACGGATGCCGCGGCACTACTCCCAACATGCCATCATTTCCGTCCACCAAGTGCCATATCCATTCATCAAAAGCTTGTTATCCACCCATCCTCTCGTTGTCATCCAGAAATCCTCCGCGGAAGCGATCCAATCTATGTGCCTGGAATTTCCAAGCTCGGCCGAATGGTATGCGCCGCCGTTCGAAGCCGTCCGGACAGAGTGTGGGGTAGGCGACATCGGGGTGGTCGCATGCATGGCAGGGTGCCATCGGAGCAGGCCGGCCTCGCGCGTGCATTGGCGGAAGATCATTGAGAGAAAACATGGCGTCGACGGGTTCGGCTCCGGGATCCGCGGACGTGTCATGAGACCTCATATGATTGCGCGCTAGGGAGACAAGCTACATTGAAGCCTGCTTGGATTGTTCGGTGTTGTATCTGTGGCGCTTGTTAGGGGAGGTAAATTGCGGACAGTCGCCAAACTTACAATAATACTGCAAGTAAAGCAAGTGTAATTGTTCTAGTGTTTTTGTGCTGATTGTCGTTGTCATGCTCAAGGGGCTTGATTGTGGTCGGCGGAATCTTGTTTGAACAGTTAGGTCAGTGATTGCCTGGGAAAGCAAGGGAAAATACCTACCCTTTGACTCACCGATCAAGCCATAATCTTACAAAGCCGTAGCAGCCAAAAGATGCAGCATAAAGACGCACCTCCAGCAACCTTGTGGCCAGCCTTTGGCCATCTTCATCCACGTCTCTTCTTTATAATCTCCTCAGCCTTCTGCTCAAAAGACCTGTAAGGAGCATAAGGTGTCGTTCCAAGGGGATCGGTGGACTTCGGGGCTGCGCGGGGATTGTATCCTCGGGGCGGGGATCCCAGGGGAATGGCACCTGGAGAGACAGCTCGAGGCTGCGGACGCTCTTGTGTAATCGATCTCAACTCCGCGGCGCTGAGAGATTGCCGGATCCTGCTCATCGACGGAGACGGCTTGTGCAGGGGTCTTCCGCCCGGCAGCTGTCCTCTGCCGCCCGAAGAGTGGATCGTGCCAGGGCTGGCGGTGGCGCCGCCGCTACGACTACCATCCCGTGCCTCTCGCAGCAGGGCTTCGGCCTCCTCAACCTTGGCCTTCTCAAGCTCCTGGTAGACTCTGTGGAACTGCTCCCGAACCTTCTCCATGCGGGCGAAGAGAATCTGCTGCTGGTTGTAGAACTCCTGTCTCTCCTTGTATGCCTTGTCGAGGGCTTTGACCAGATCGGCAATCTCCTCTTCAGAGTACAGCTTCTTGGGTGGGTTGGGCGTGTCGAAGCCAAAGATCTCAGGGTATGGGCCGTAGTCAATCTCGATGAACTCCTGAGGCGGCGACGCAGGAACGTCCGAATCGGCCTCTGCCAAGAGAGCCTGCTCCCGAGAGTTGTTGGCTCCGGCAGGGAGGGGAACCTTGCGATTGCGAACGGCCTTCTGCAGACGGGTACGACAAGCATCGACAGCGGCGTCAAGAAAGTCGGGAGTGGCATTGTTCTCGTCGATGGTTTCCTTGAACAGCTTCATGCCGCTCGCCTCCTCTTCATGTAGCGACTTCAGCTGTTTTCTCAGAGTCTTGACCCTGTGGCCAGCCTCAGCGCTGGTCGGGAGGACAGGACGAGTGGGAGGGCGAATGACTGGCTGAACGCAGCGTCGCTTCGAAGCAGACTTGGTCGGGGTATCGGGAGGACCATCGGGGCTTCCTGATCGCTCTCTGTTCGGAGTAGAGCTGGCTCGGGGCTGAGACAGGCTGTAGTCCAAGGGAACAGTGGAGTCGTCGACGTCGGAGGGAGTCTGGCCGTCGAAGAAGGGGTCGGTGTTGGTTGCACCCGAGTCAACGGTGTCGGGCGTGACGGCTCTCTTCCTGGCCTCGGCGGCTTCGTTGCGCTTTCGCTTGCGCTTGGTCTTCTTCTGGGCAGGAATGGGAGTCTGCGGAGCGCTCTCGGCGTACTCACTATCGTCACTATTGTCGCTACCGTCAGACATCTCGACATCTTCCTGAATCTCACCCTCGCTGGCCTTAGAGACGGTGGTGGAGACGGCAGTCTCGGATGCCTCCTCGGAGGGCTTCTTGCCGTCGCGAGCAGACGAGGTCGCCTTGGGCTGCGCGCCGGGAATTGGAGCGAAGCGCATGCTGCCGCGCGGGCTGGGTTGTCCTCCAGCCATCGGTGTGCCAAGTCCGAGTTGTATGTCGGAATATTTGCTGCTGTTGTCGAAAGATAGAGGTGATGTTTTTGCTGTTGTACGAGGGGCGGAAAAGGTGGTTGTGGGCGCAGGGTTCGCAAGGTCGTAAACCCGTCCGGCCTTTTTGATCTTGACCATCGCAAGAGGCAGGAGCCAGCCAGCGCAGGGCTGAAAGCAGACGACCTTTTTTCTCTGGGCTCCTTCCTTTCCAATATTCACCAGTAAGTTGCAGCAGTACAAAGCTGGTGCTAATACAAGCTAATAAGCAAAACAGGAGAAGAGAACTGACGCCACTCAGCAAGGACGAAACAAATGCTGCTCGCAGGGTGAAGCCATCACCAAGTGTTTCAATGTTTCAGGGAAAGCTGACTGTCGTCGACTACCACTGGCGTCCATCAACCAAGAACGAAAGCGAGGAGCCATGGCAGAATACATGCGCCTCTGTGCCCTCAGCTCAGTTCCTTTCACATGACTGGGGTATTCATCGCCATGGCGATGGGCAGAGAGGCCTTTCAACGCGGGGCGGATGCCATCGAGAGCCCTCAGCAAGGAGCACTTCCCTTCACTGGTGTCTCCAACTGGAGGAAATTCCTTTCCCAAGCCCACAAGGACAGCAAAGATCCTTTCAAACCAAAGCATCTTGACCTTCTTTGCTGGGTCATCGAGTCTACATCCATTGCCTTCTTGCTCCATCTAGCAGAATATTCCACAGAGCAGACAGCAGGCCAAGGTTTGTTTACCCTCCTGGTTTAAACAAGCAGAGTCTAACCTCAGATTGCAGATGGACAATCGCCAGAACGACCTCAAGGACCAGATCCGCGCCTTCACCAATGCCCTCTCCAAGTCAACCAAGCTGCCACTGAGCGCGATCCACGAGGCCCTCGAGTCTTACATCGGCCAGGCTCGCATCGACGAGGCCACCTCCATCGCCGCCCAAGAGATGCGCCAGGTCATCCCCGGAAGCGAGTACGCCGTCATCTTCCACGGCTACCACGTCCACACTGGAAGCACCCCTGACCATGCCTTCGGCTACCCCATCAACTACCGCACCACCGTCGCGCTCAAGAACCCCGTCTTCTTCGACGTCCTCAAGTTCAACAAGTTCAACGGCGTCTTGATCCCCCAACAGGGCCAGCCTATCCCTCCCTACCACGCTGCGGACTACGTCCCGGGATTCCAGTCTTACGGATGTCCCGGCCTGGCGATCCCCAATCACTGGATGAATATCTTGGCCAGCCCCACCGCCGATGCCATTCATATGAACGCGGAGATCGCTTTTCCCGGACCCAGTGGTGCCGAGAACTGGGACGAGCAGACCTCCGACCCGACCTTCAACCAATTCCTTGCTGAGAGCTTTCCCCAGCAAACCCACATGGCTCCTCCTGGCCAGTTCGTCCCAGACTACTGGAACCAGTCCAGCTACTTTGGCCACCCTGAGCATATCATCGGAGAGACCCACGAGCCCGTCCCTCAAGTCCAACTTCCCCTGGGAATCGACCCCGTCATCGACAACAACGTCGCTGCTGATGTTGAGCACGCCGGACAGCAGTTTGCTCGCTCCCGCAGTGTCGAAGAGGCTACCATGCAGTGCCCCGAGTGCTTCAAGCCATACAAGCGACTCCTTTACTTGCAGAAAGTCAGTTTCCCAAGTCCCATGGTCCGATCGTCCCCGCTGACAACCAAAGCACCTTAAAAAGCATGGTCGCCGGTACAGCCGCAAGGTAGACTACTCCATCCGTCGCTGAACTAGACAATGGTTAGGCTACTCGGGAGCAGAGACCATACGGCACTCGCCACATTGCTGGAATTTCCAAAGCGTGGTTCGCTTTCGCCGGGCATCCAGTTTGCGTCTTTGAGCGTCACACTCGTTTTCGGGAGCGCCAGATACTGAGGATATTAGTTTGATTCCGAGAGAATTCTATCGTTTACTAACTATCTCTGCCATTCACCGTCACAACTGTTGTAAAACCTCGAATCGCTGTCTCATGTCGCTTGTTCCATACCCAATCGCTCTCATCCCATGCTTTTGCCTCAGTCCCTTGACCTAAGGCTTAAAAGCCTTCTTCCACAGTCGTCGGATCTGCTCGCGCTGCAAGTATGAAATCTTTCGTTCTCGCAGAGTTCGTAGGCCCCCAAAAAACCACCCGTACGCAACTCCGCCTACCCAACGCCTGTTCCTAAGCCCGACCGGTGTTTTCTGTGCAGCAATTGGTAGGCTTTGCTCCGGATTATGCTCCACCAGCCGTGTGTCAATACAATCATTCAATGCAGACGTGCTGCTGAAATGAACGCTCGGCTTGAGATATACTCTGCTTGCGACCACTTTGCAGATCACAAGCTCTGGGGAATCGCTCCTCTCGCGGAGACCAGGGTTCATGAACTCAGATATCTTTCGCACAGCAAGATATCGACGCAAGCGATTTCCCAAATTGAGTTTTGGAAATGCATGGAAATCCACCATCTTGTAGCATTCTTTGTGTAGACTTGCCAGTATCCGCCACCATCTGGCATGTGCCAGGGCGTATGCGATTACCGGCAAGACGTCCGGCAGTCTGCCTCTAGCTTCCCACAAATCTCTGACGATGCGGCTCCATTCAGTTGGGGATTCTTTTGACCAGATTGCCTTGGGAATCGCAATCCCCCAGGTGCCGCCAGTGGAGGGTAGAAAGCAGATCTTTTCGTCCGGGTCATAAGGGGACCTCTTTTCTGCTTCTTCATCAGTGGGTGGCTCAAAGAAGTATCAAGATGGCTTCATCTTTGGCTCGGACGGGTGCTTGCCTTGGAAATCTTCAAACTGGTCCCTGTGTCACTGAGATCAGCCCATATCCCCAAGGAGCTGAAGATGAGATTAAGGAATGAAATACCAATTGATTTGCTTATAGCTCGTGGGCTCGGGGAACCTTGGACGTGCGAATCCGGGGAGGTTTGGGAAAAATTCAAAGCTGGGCCTTCTTCCAGGGTCATCCATTGTTGACGGGATAAAAGGTGTGAAATTTCGCGGTTAGCTGTATCTGTTCCAGTAAAGCGTGTTGCTCCTTCATGCAGCGTTACAAGAATGCTGGGACTCGTTGCAGGAAGATAGCTGATGCGGAGTTGTGCAGATGATGTTGTTGGCAAAAGTGAAGTCAGGACGAGGCGGGTCAGAGAGGGGAGAAAGGGCCCATGATCTGCACCACGGTCTGGCTCTAGCGGGAGAAGGAGCGAATAAGCAGCGAAGGTTGACCATTGACCACTGCCTCGGACAGCATTGAGAATTACTGAGGTCTGCCCTGCCTTGAGACTCCTGTCTGGCAGGTTGGAGTTGGGGATGCTCCTTCCTCACCAGATTGCTGGAATTGCTGCCTACCTTGTAACTCCACGTCCCGAGTCTCTGTCTCAACCCAGACCCCACCTTCTCCTTCCAGGCCTTGACTCATCCGCTGGATTGCAGGCGGCAGCTTCTCGATTCTCTTCGCACCTGCAACCCACAACTGTCAGCCCACATCACTCCTCGAAGCTGCCCGCGTAGGTCTCAGTTGCTTGCCAAGCTTGGACATTGACCAGCTGACCTTCCAGCAGAATGTCGGCCTTACATCTTGCCATCAAAGACGCGCTCTTGCGCATTGAGCAGGAGAGCCCCGAGGACTGGTTCACAATCGACTCCCTCACACGAGCCGTACTTACCGAGATCCGCCAGGATTGTGTGGCTCGCTCCACGGACCCCCAGAAGGAGGTAAACGACGAAGGCAGCAGCAGCATCAGCAGCAGCAGCAGCAGCAGCCAGAGTGGCAGCAGTGACGATGACCAAGATGAAAGCGAGGGTGATGCACAAGACCACGACAATGGCATCGGCCACGCGAACAACGACAGCAACCACCATGAAGGCAACAAGGGCAGGCGCAATAGTTCCAGAATGTATGCCTGCAAGGTCCGTCACTGCCCTCGCGTCTACCAGCACAAGTCAAGCCGCACCCGCGTGAGTTCATTCCTCCACCACCTTCTTTGAGTACTATGCTCACAAAAACACAGCACTACGCTATCAACCATGGCGAGGTGGCTGCACCCCCAGACACTGATGAAGAGTAAATCATGTTGTGGTGGAAGCAAAACGTTCAAATGAGACAGAAAGGCTTCAATACAAGTTTTAAATCACATTACATCAAGATCTTTTATAAGTGTCCAACTGTGTTTTTGCCTAGATTCTTGGGCTGCTGGATTGGCTGTATCGTGTAGTTCTACTTCCTGCGGGCCTTCCTGCTTTCCTCCATCTCGAGGATGGGTATCCTTGCCTCTGCCTTTCCAGTATTATGCGCCTCCAATTCTTCCTTCGTCATTGTATTGTCGCTGCGGTCATCGTTGCTTCTGTGATTATCGCTGCTGTGTCGTCTCTACTGCTGCCGTTCGTCGCGCGCTGCCGGCGTCTCTGACTCTGCTATGTCGTAAGAATAATTCAAGATCTAAAGAAAAGTCCAAATTCAGAAAGAATACCCCGGGACCTTCAAGTTCCTTCCGTTCTTGTTCTACCTTCTCACCTCAGGTGAGCTTGTAGCCTCAGGTGAGATCCTGGTGAGATACGTACCCCTCTCATCAATCTATTTAATGAGGGCCTCTTCTCCTCAGTCCTCCTCTCTTTTCTTCTCCAGACAACAACAACTTCTCAGTCTGTGAAAGTTATCTTACCTCAATACAACCCTCAGTACAACCTCCACAAAGGAAGACCAAAGGAAGATGGCTCAACAGACTAAGCAAGACATTCAAGACGCGCTCCTGCGCATCCATGAGGAGCATCCAGAGGATTGGAACGCGTTTGAGCAGGCCAGTCGTCAAGTCCTTGCTGAGATGGGCACTCAACGCGCCCTCGAAGAGAACCAGGCTGTCCTCAACACTAGTCAAGGAGAGGCAGACACTCACTCCTTGGAGACCGACTCCGCTCAGAACAACCCTCGCGCGGCCACAGCTACTGCCTCAAGCAGGGCCTCAGCTCACACTAATGTGAGTGAGACTCACATCAGGCCGTACCGCTGCACTGTCCCTGGCTGCGTTAAACGTTATCAGCACGTTCGGTCGCGATACCGTGTAAGTCAAAGACCCCCAAGACCATGAAATCAAGCCGCTAACACTCATCCAGCACTACCAGGAGGACCATAATGGTGTGGCTATCCCTCCCAGTACTGATGGTGTTGTCTTGGACACACCCAAACATGGAGAACAGACTGCCTGAAGGAAGGGAGGGACAATGAACGGGGGTGAAAGGCAGAGGCAGTGATTGGGAGGAAGGATGCACTTCATTCGCGCAGGTTCTTCATAAGGAAATTCTATCACATGATTTTCAGTCTTACGATTCTCTCAATCACCATAGTGCCTTTGTTCAGTGTGAGACAACCGCGCACACTGACAACCTCAATCTGACCAGCAGGTTCCGCCTGGTTCTTCGGAACCCTTCCTTCCTGGAATTCTCCAAAATAAATCTAAACGATTTTTCTGTTTTCCCAAGAAACCAAACCAAACCTTTTCTCAACCACAGTCAACCCTCCACAAAACAACTTATCCACCACCAGACACGAACCATCAACAAACCGAAACACCCAACTCACTCAAGTATGTCCAAATCTTTAGTCCATTCTGCCAAACCTGACTACTGACTTATCTTCTACAGAATGCCTACAAAGCTCGAGACCGCCGTCGCCAACGCCCTCACCCAGGCTCAGTCCGAGAGCGGCAAGTCCAAGGACGACGTCATGAAGATGGCCCACTCCTTCGCCGGCAAATACCTCAAGAAGAACGGAATCTCCGCCACCGACGCCCTTCACCGCTGCGAGTTCGACGGCTGCGAGCGCGCGTACGAGAACCGCAGCTCCCTCGTCCGCGTCAGTCCCTCCGTGCCTCGCCCAGTCTTCACCTCCTTTGTTCTCATTCTGACTTTCTTCTCAGCACTACAAGAAGGACCACGACGGCAAGAACCCCGAGGACGAGGAGTAGGCTTTTTGTCGATTGACGAGCCTCCGCCTCCGGACAGATTGCTGATACCTTGGCAACTTTTGATGGCTGTCCCACAACTGCCTTCTGCGAGCTGTCGCCTCGGACGAACTAGACAGGCGCTGGACTACGTGGTGGAATTTGCTCTCAGGTGCTGCCAAGGCTATACACTTGCTACTCTAGGTATGTGGTTTCTGTAGCTTCCATTGCTTCTGCTAGGCTCATGGCTGACAAGTTCTACCTACAGTTGCGACCCTCTTGCCGGCCTGGCTGGTATCTCGCCCCATTACCCTTCGCCTTTCAGGTAGCTCCTCAATAAAGAAGTCCTCTCCTGTATCTTGCCGTTTCAAGCTCCAGTCCTTGAATACTTGCCCATCTATTGAAATGTTTAATTGCCGGAGAGGTACCATCCGGGGCTGGCGAAAGCCTTTTGTCGACGGTGTTTCGAAACTGATGATGGTCGTATCGTGCTCATCATGGAGCCAGGCCACCCTTCCACTGTCTCACGATCCTTTCCCACTCCGTTGCCTTTCGTTATTCCAGTTCAATTTCACGTCAAGTCGTTTTGCTTTTCATGCACAGCGTGTGACTTGAAAACATATACCATTTGACGGACCTTTGCGTCTGCCTCCATCATGCTTAAGTCGTCGAAGGCGTATGATCCAAGCGTCGACGAGGATTTGTCTTACCATCCTTGTGTACCCATCATTGCATTCTATTGAGCCTTACAAACAGGCTCAGTTGTAATTTTAAATCTCTGCCAAAAGCGACGTGTGCCTTGGTGCAATGTTGCCCAGATCGATGTCTTTGAACTCGGGCCCAGATGAGACCGCATGCCATGACATGGCTCTGAGCACTTGACTGTCCACAGATGACACAGTCATGGCAGACAACAACTGCGAGGCCTAACTCCGCCAGCACGGCTAGAACCAGCAAAAACAGCTGCAGCTGACTTTTGTCCTTTGAGACACTCAACACAAGCTGCACTTTGTCTGGTTCACGAAGTAGCCTCGATTCTTATCGCGGGACTCAGTTGATTCTCGGTTGCTAGGTGGAAGAGCTAGATGTGAAAGTCACCTGTCTACGGCATCCGGCCATGGCACTTTGCCGCCCAAGCCGGCGGCCTTGATCAAAGGATTCTGCCAAAGCCCAGATCAACAGCTGCCCAGGTCGCCCAGTCCGCTGAGCCCGCAGTCGTGTTGGAGAGGCTTCCATTATCCCCTCTCAGCGTGCGATTGACATCGGATGCGGACAACCATGTATGGGACCGAGTCTCCATCCAAAGTTTCTAATGACGAGAGCTTTGGAACAAAAATTAAGGAAGCTGTTTCGATCTCAGACGGGGATATGTACCTCGCGTCCAAGCATGCTTGGGAGGGTGAGATGATTGGTACCCAGAGGTCGTAACACTTCGCCGATCTTCAATATTCTGAGCCTTTGCCACAATAGTCAATCTTGTGGAAGAAGCTCATTCCTTTCATAGTCAGGACCTTTTATTCCTGGGCCCTGAGAAGACGTTTGTCTCTATGCTAGGTAGAGGCCTTCTGAGGATAATGCCTTTCGCAGGCTCTTCCGATACACCCTCCTACACGGGTCTCCTATGGCGCAAGATCCTGTCAGGTTTTCAGACTCCTGCTACTTCCATTTTGGGGTAGGAAATCATCAGATGATGTCGGTTGTCAAGACGCTCACCTTTGATTTCCTGGGAGATCCGGAGGAGCCTATCGATATCCGCGGGGCGTTGTTCATCTCCATGCAATGCCTCCATACCAAAAGTCAGCCTCTCACGCCCATTAACCTTTCGCGGGCGCTCAGGAAAGTTTTCCCTTCTGCACCTTTCACTCAATACACATGGGAGCACTATATCTGCGCAATAGGCAGACTTATGCCGGTCGTGGCAGCGGGAAAGGTTACTACAAAGGGATTTAAAGGGGAAGTCATGTTTCTGTCCCATCATTTTACTGAGCCTCAATGGCGTTGGCGGTGCCAGAGATTCACCTGCATCGTGGTTCTCCAGTACTTTTAACCTCGAGCCAACCGCACAGCTCTCCGGCTTGAGGATGGCGAGTAAGCACGATCCCGGTGTTGGTTATACCGTTGCGGCAAGAATCCTGCCGTGAAGTACTCTTGCCCCGTGGCCGGCGAGTACGAATGGGACGAGGTATTCACCACCTACAACTATGCACAGCACTATGCAGACTAGAAGTGCACGGGGTTCCAGTGCTATACTATCCCTATATATGAAAGGGTAGTTTGTGAATAGGTAATGGGAAAGTGAGATTAAGAACGCTTGAGAAAAAATCTGAAGAGCAGGGTGATTTTACTGCTTTAGCAGAACGCCCCGAGCCATGATATCTATCCGGAGGCGTACCTGGGAGCGCCGATATCAAGGACATGGAGGAGGAAGAGGGCCTGGAAGTCCAAAGCCGATAGTCATCCTCCCCACGTTCACGGACCAGAGCACGCGTGTGTAAAACTTGGATGGGGTGATGGCGGCCTGGTACTGGCTATGCCTCGAATAGATGCCCAGCGCCCCGGGCCCGGCTCGCCAGCGGTCCGACCTTGGGCTCACCTCAAGCTCAGTTGAGAGACCGCGAGTTGCCATCGATCGAGGTCTTATGCCTCTCGCCACGTCGAGAGCGAATGACTTTGCCGCGAAAGCCGTCATCTATATGTGGCAAGGCATCTAAGATCACTTCGACGACCGAGTCAGCCTGGGTCCCGGAAAGTCTACCATGCCGTTCTATTCGTCCGGTCGGCCCTACCTCGCACCAACGCCAGATGCTAGAAGTATAGGCAGGTAAGCGAGCACACCGTCCGGCGGATAGCCGGCAGTTCAGAGAAGGCTGAGGATCTGCTCGCATCCACTATCCATGAAAAAGACGGGCACAGCGCTCACATCGCAAAGGCTACGGCCGCAGGCCTCGACACATGTTCGCGGCTCACTCGGAGCAAGCTGGAATTGTAAACATAGTTAGCTTCTGGGATGCTTTGACTTAAACAGCTGAGGGCAAGATGTCGACTGGAGGCTATGGCACATGGCGAGTACGAGAATATGAAACGGAAGAGACAGGGTCAGAACTTCCAGCCATTTACAGCCCTGGAATCCCTTGAATAGGGCTTCCCGGAGAAATAGGCATCTGGAGGTGGGAGCGATAGTCGTGCGAAGGCAGCCTTAGTCTCTGACGATGCTTCTCCGGGCAAAGGAGACGTTGTACGGCCACCTGTGTAAACCCACCGGAAGCTCCAGCTGTTTGAGAGCTTATCATCACCGACAACTTATCCGACCAATGTCTTCTTGGCTCGGTCCGCTAAAAGGATCTTGCTAACGAACCTTCGCTCGCTCCAGCAATGGTTCGAAAGATCCATCGACGATCAGGTCGCAGCACGAGTTCTGTTCCAGTTTATATCGATATGATTGGGCTGCGTCTCGGCCTTGCCCGGAGCCTTCACACCAGCGCGGAAATATTGTTGATACCGACTCTGTCTCTGAGCTGAACCTCATGAGAGGATGGAGCTGACTCGTGATAAGTCTAGAGTACCTAGTAGCTTTGATCAGGGGACTGAATCCGCTCTAGCACTAATAGCTGAGCCAAGCTCCAAAAGTCACAGCTTTCAAAGGACAGGAGACCACACGATCGTGGTGTGCAAGCTGCGAGAGAAGGAGAGAGAAGCCGAGAACATGACGCAAAACCGTCCCAAAATGCGCGTTCACTGGCTTCCAAAGACCAATCTCAGGGGGCCGTGGGACGAAGTGTAATGCTTCTACACTGAGTCAAGCATCAGCGAGCAGGCACGTCCCCCGATGGCCAGGTCCAAGACAGCAGACTAGTCACTCGAATGAGATCTTGGATACAACCTTGTGTTTTCTTGGAATATTCAAAGGATATATCGCCCTTTCAATTAGCTGCCTCTCCTCCTGCTCCTGGTAATCCTGAAGCCCGAGCATATGGAGCAATCCGAGTGCAATGGCTGGGGCATTTATTTTAGAACATTATCTTTGTGATGGAATAAGACCCCACCCCAAGCAATATATTCATGGGACAGCATGGGACATGCCAGTGGTACAATCGCCGGTCTTCGTCAGAATATGCGGCCGACTGTCTGAATTCTATGACACGCACCGGGCCCGCATAGCACGTTGATGGTCGGTAGACGGCCTGTTATAGAGGTCAGGGGCATTATCAATGCCCATTGCAGCGTACGGGCGCTTTTGCGCTGCGAAGACAGGCACTAGCATCGACA